CGACTCTCCATCGAAGAGGAGACGACCATGAAAGGAAAGTTAGGATGACTTGCAAGACGAGCCTCATGTATGCCATAATGACCCATATCAGCTCCAGACCGGTAATCCACAAACGACTTCAAGTGGTACAAAAGCTCCGTTAGGTCACGAATGTATTCCGTGGTACACATTTCCGGATACCTCATCCACAATCGCATCAAATCTCCATTCTGCATCAAAGTATTGCACATTAAAAATAGAGTATTACCAAAGATGGAACGCTGAAAATCCCCATCATCATAATCCGCACCATCATAGGTCGGCTTCTTAGCACTCAACATGGCGAAGAAATAGTAGATGATCATTCCCAGTTGCCTCGCTTGGTCGAGAGTTATACCCCCGCGTAGAACCATGGTAGAAGACATACCAGTGTCCAAACAAGGAAGGAAGGACAATACCGAGAATTGTTTCTTAGCGTCAGAAGGAGGCGGTCTTTCCGGATCCACACTCCATGTGTTCATGTCCAAACCATTCCGGACAAAGACACTATCCATGACAGTAGTCAACAGCTGCTCGGAAGGTAATCGTAATGGTCCAAACGGCCCAAGTGACAGTTTGGCACGGTATCTTATCACCCGGACCATGGCAACCGCAGCTGCATTTCCGTCATTCTTATGATCCACACCCGACATAACCTGTCGTCCAAGTTCCGATGGCATGAGGATTCGAAAGACAGCTTCAGAAGACACTTGTCTTGCTGGTTCGCCATCTTTTCTGCAATGAACAACACCAGCACCCACATCACCGATGTCTTGGAGCAACCAAAAACAACATGATAGGAACACAGGTGGACATATTGTCCTTTGTTCCGGTGTGGAAATAGCCGCGTGCTTCGTTGACTCTAGTCGAATCTTGAGAGCACCCGGCTTTGCAACAACAGGCGAGTAAACAAGGCCACCATGAGGATGTCCCGGGATCATAGCAGCGGGATTTACCATTGTCTGATAGTATCCACCCATTCCGTCAGGCACGAATGTTGGGTGTGGGTACGGTGAATGTGGATACTGCGACGGTGGCGTTGGCTGGTATGGCGACGGCGTGTGATACACGCCCGGAGTCACGTGAGGATGTTGTTGCACTGGCATAGGATGGAACGGCGACTGCTGGACTGGCGCTGTGTGATACGGAGATGGTGCCCGTGCAAATGGATCGTGCATTGTAGGAACAGGAGGACTTGGGCTCCCCCGAAAAGGAGACGGAGTTGGTTGAAATGGCCCTGCATGGTCCCCAACATCCATCCTCGGACGCTTATGGGGCGCAAATGGGGAAGTCCAGTCCGCCTCGTCTCTATGAGGATGCGGTGTAGTCGTTCGTCCAGACTGTTGAAATGGTAGATGCTGCCGCTTTAATGGTGTTACAGTAGGTGCAAATGGATCCCCTGCATGAACATTATAACCGGCGTCGTCATCTTCAGGAGGAGAGACAGCTGGCACAGGTGCAAGAAAAGATGGCGACGTTGACCATGATACCCCCGTTTGGCGTCCTGTTGTCGGATCACGAGTTGGTGGTCTCGGGGTCGCTGCCATCTGTGCATACGGCCCACCTGCAGTTGGATTCGTCACCCTTCGTGGACCACCATCATTGGGTGGTGGTCCTAGTGTAGCGACATATGCGACCTCCTCCGTATCGGAAGAGGAATCAACTGGATCGTCCAATTGCTCACCTGAATGTAGTTTTTCAGAAGCTGCTAGAAAATCATCAAAAGATTCTCCTGGTTCTTCTTCCACCGGTCGCACCAGACGTTGTGGTTTATAACCTGGAGGTGCTTTTGCTGTTTTGGGAATATCTTTTACTGGATAAAGATGGAAGGGAGACGGGACCTCCACTGGGTCCAGTGTAAAGTTGGCACACCAATTCGGGCCATCATCGTTCCATCCATCCATGGGTCGCATCATTTGACTCAGAAAAGGTTGGCATTCAGCAGATAGGGTGCCACCACCACCTTGATCCAATGGATATTCCAATGTTCCGCGTTTAAGGAACATATGGTACTGCATCCGCGCCATCTGGAACGCCTTGGATTGGGCAGCGATAGGTCCACGTCTCACAATTTGAGAGAAATGATTGCGCAAGAAACGATCTTGTTGGACCTGAAACGGTGCCAACTGCTTACAATCACCAATCAGCGATTGTCCATTAGGGTTATCTATAGTTGGAAAAGTATCCCACAGAGGAAGAGCCGATACCACAGGTACGCCAAACGCCTGAGAATTAGCATTGACGGCGTCAAACCAATTTTTAATTGCCGCTTTTTGGGTGCCGAGAAGATGCAACAATCCCCCAAAAACCTTACTATTGCGATTCTCCAGAGAATCACAGAATTCGGCATAGCTAATTGTAGCTGGCCAAACGAAACCAACTGGGCATTCTGACATAAATGGAAAAATTAAAATTTTCCACGAATCTCCATTCAGCGGTTTCTGACCCAAGGCCAAACCATCAGACATGATCACAGGAAACAACGCTTCTGCAAAAGCCCGACGTCCTTCGTCCAGGGATACACCTAAGGTGGTACCGCACAGGGAACCCAACATCAAGTGATTCGGTTCATCAACTGGCCGAGGACACTTCAAGTGGTTCGTCACCGTGGCCTCAAAGACATCAGCCAACAATGGTGCACCGAAACCACTGTCTGAGCTCGTATTCGGTTTTGTCATTACCGGAGCAGAGATGAAGCATAGATGACAAGGTTCTCCGTCCGCCCCTTTCCGAACAACTAGCGCAAATCCTGGTGGTTTGGTTTCACCAAGCATCAGACGCTGATGGTAAGTCAAACTTGGGTCATTCCATCTCTTGAATTCCGCATCTAACTCTGCATATCGCTCTCTTGCTGGCCGGAAATCCTCAGGGCATGTTACCCTGTAGAGGGGCTTGCCTTCGGAGAGCCGCTCGACGGGAAATCCATAAGAACTTTGGAGGTTCTTGAGAGTTGGACACTTGTTGTCAAGAGCGAGATGATAGTTGAGTTTCCCTTCATAGGGGAGATTCGTAATCGAATCGCGGAGGTTCAAAAATTCACCTACGGCAAATTTCTTGGAGAGGAAAGATTGACTGGGCATTCTTGTTGCTGTTGTTGTTGTCGGAAAGGCTGGAGGACTGGAAAACTTGTGAAATTGTCGGCTAAGCTCAAACAATCCACCGTAAAAGATGCCTAAGACAACTGATACTCTTGCGATTAAATGTAATAACAATAAAACTGATTATAAAGAAAGAAATAACTCTATCTTTCTGTCAGTATACTTGCACACAAGTTCGATATGTGTAGATCGGACTTAGGTTGCTGGTGCAATACTGAGATGACGGTCGCCCTACCGTCGTTCATGGAGTCACTATTGAGTCCATTGGTTCGACCGCTTTCTTCCGTCTACGTTAGATTGCGCCACTCCCGCCAAAACGAAATCCCAACTATTTGAATCATCATCATTCCACCCAGCAATAACAAAACAACGAAACCTCAAACCCAAGTGTCTCATATTCAAGATGCAACTTTCAGCAATCTCCTTTTTAGCCCTACTCTGTTTCTTACTGGCGAGTGTAAACATTGTCGTAGCACAGGAGAGCAGCAGCAACTTGAAAGGAACCAACAGGGTTGAAGGTCGATTGTCGGTATGTCCAAAACAATTCCACTATGTTGTACACGCTCATCATGTACACCCACGGCGCTTGCTTACAAAATACATCTCTTGCTATTTCTTCTCTGTCTCTTCCATGCCTTTACCTTTGAAAAAATAAACAGAGACAAGACGTCATTGAAAACCATGAAAGACGTCGCACCCACCTGGCAAAACTTCTTCAGCAAGTCAAAGACAAGGTTGATGACCATGATTCGGGAAGAAATCTGATGGAAGACGAAGACTATGCAAAACATGCAAGACGAATTCCATTGTACGAGCGAAAACTTGAGCGATTGAACAAGCCATTGGACGAACGAGTAAGTTCTTGATGATGTGGAGTCGAGCACGACTTTTCTGACGCTGGAAGAAATAGCAAGCATTTCGTTTCATTTGTTGAATGAAGAGTCTTGAAAATTGTATGACTATATCATTTTGTGAAACGAGTATGGACTGACATGTGATTTTTGTATCTCCTGCTCATTTTGCCAAAACAAAGGAAATCAATCGACAACTAGATCGAGAAAGGATTCGTTCAGAACGATACTCCCGACGATCGGAACTCTAAGTTCATTTATTCTTATCTTCAATCGATACATATGGTGGCTGTTTGTCTCAGTAGAAAGACTCGAACTCGGTCAGAATCTGAAGCTGATGTCATTAGTTTTCAAGTTGGAATGGTGGAGAATCGATACGATTTATTTCTAAAATTCATGGAAGATGGGAACTTCTGCTCTTTTAAAGTCATAATTACGATGTTCTTGCCACATGGATACTGTAGTTTGTTGGAACGAGATATCTCGTCATTGCCATTTGCCAATCGAACATTGAGTTTTTACCTTCGCATAAGCTGTAATCGTATTAATCAAAATGGCTCATTACCCACTGAACGGAACCCATCACTTCTCAATCTTAGAAGAATAAATACAGTAAAAGAACCACAACAAAACGCCAGTGGCAGCTCTGAGGATCATGACAAGTCATGTGCTTTTTGTTATTTTCTTTGTTCATACCATAATATTAAACTTATCATGCGCATTTTCAACGAGCAACGGTGAAAAGAGATGGTCAAAACTGTCTACATCCACCAACAGTCAAAAGTGGAAACGAGGAACACAAGCATCGAACAAGAAGAGAAAGGGATACGATCTGAGAAGTAAGCGGGGAGTTCGAACAGGTAGAAAGAAACCGCCTAGATGGGAAACAGAAGGTGATGCACTTTTCTTTGTTTCAAAATCTGATGGGTCGGTGCCAGAAGTTCCAGGAGAGACGCCAACTGAGATGCTCAACAATCTAATGAAAATGAAGCAGAAACTCCAATCCGAAAAGAAGAAGCCGGGAAAGAAACAGCCAGCTGCACCAGCAAAAGATGAGGATGAAGATGATGACAGTCAAAAAAAGTCACTGCCGCCACACATGGTATGGGGGACCCTGTCGACTGGACCAATCCTTTCTCCAAAGCTGAAAACCCTGTACGATACCCCAACAGCTATTCAGACGGAAAGCTTTGGCCCAATCACAAGCAGACAGAATGTGGTCATTGCCGCTGCTACTGGATCTGGAAAGAGTTTGGCATATCTTCTACCCCTCATGTGCCGAGTGTCGAGAAAAAAGTTTGGTTCGGTCATGGTCGTCACACCCAGTTTGGAATTGGCAAAACAGATAAAATCGGTAGTGGACGGCATATGGACTCCTACAAAGGATATACCAGGATCGTCTGTGTGCATCATAACATCAGATTTGTTTGATGAGGGTTCGACGGGATTTGTCCCAGATGAGGAAGTTCTGAATACCCCAATAATTGTCGGAACAGCAGGAGCTTTGTTGAAGTGGCTTGAGTTTAGCATTAAATCACGAAAGGGCAGACGGGTGCTTGAAAACCTCGAGACTCTTGTTCTTGATGAAGCCGATCGAATCATGCAGACGGAAGCAATGGCTCGAATTGAGAACGACACTCGCAATGGCAATGGCGGGACAGATCTATGGGAACGAAAGAAACGACTCCAAAAGTCAGACGCCATTTCGCTGTTTGACACAATTGCATCCCAGGGTCGCTCCTTTTTTGTCAAAAGCCGAAATCATATTCAACTAATTTGTGCTAGTGCCACAGTGGGAAGAACTCTGAGAAGGCAGGTAATGGAATTAACAGATGCCACCACTGTCGAGATGGGTTCCGTCTTGGTATGTGCCGATAGTCGGGTTGGGAAGGACGCAGACGAACGAAGAAGTAGTTTGTTACCAACCACTATCAAGCACATGTACATGATTCAAGAGGAAGGAGCAGAAAGAGAAGGAGCTGCTATGATCAAGGAAGTTTGGCAAGTCATGAAGCAGCTTCCACCAGGTCCAACACTTGTGTTTCCAGGAAGGACTGGAGTACAGCTTACCGCCGATACATTATTGACCGACTGTGGCATGCAACACACCATAACGCTTCGAGACGACATTCGAGAATCCAGCAAGGCGTTGGATTTGGAAAAAGCGGACACCCAGCACAATAGTTGGGAAGAAACTCCAGTCTTTGTGGTGTCTGAGAAACTCGCCCGTGGTTTGGATATTCCCAACGTTGCCTATGTCGTCCTGGCAGGAGGGGCGCCAAACAGTCCTGCTGCATATGCACATTTGGCAGGGAGAACTGGTCGAGTTGGCAAGGAAGGCAAGGTGCTTACTTTTGTCCGAGATATGAGGGGCGCCCAACGGGTGGTAAGCATCAGTTTCAAGCTTGGGTTGGCGTTCGAGCCACTGTCAGTAGCTGGTGGAACTCCAGATAGCGCAGAAAGTAAGAGCGTTGTAGAAATGGCAGAGGAACTAGAGCCAGAGGCAGGGTCAATACACGAGGCGGACAGTCCCACACTTTTGAGAGAAGAGCTCGAAAGCTACACCGTTCCGACGCTCAAGGAAATGTTGAAGGAGCGAGGGGAGAAAGTCAGTGGCATAAAAGCAGAGCTGGTACAGAGACTACTAGATGTCTAACAATTACAATAGTGGTATTGTAAACTTTTGAATCTTTAGTGCTGCTTGGTCTGTAAGAAGATTAGTATCCGTGCAAGTTTCATCATCAGATCCGTCGTTGTAACGAGAGATGGTACACGAAAGAGTCTAGACGACAGATTGCGACTTGAAAAGTTTCTTTACTCTATAAGTCATCGCTACCATAATTCGCATCTTCGGACTTTTTCTCTTTTTCCTCTTCCAATCTTCTTGCCTCTGCTATGATTTTCTCTTTGTAGTTTGCACGATGTTTCTTCTGGGATTCCTCTCGTGCCATGGTAGTTTCCACCTCTTCATCGTCAACATACTCTTTCATTGAATCGACCTTTTGAACATATAGCGCCAATCGTCGTTCCAAATCTGCCTTTTCCTTTTCCTCCATGACTTTTACACCAGCCGAGTGATCCGCCAATTGACTGCGCATGTGTTTGATCAACGCCGTGATGCGGCGTTTGTGACTGTCCCGGCGAGTCAATATTTCCTTTCGTTTCGCATCAATGGCAGACTCCGCATTAGTAGTGTTGGATGACACCAACAACAATAGAAATGTCAAGCAGCAAATCAAGAGAAAGGATGAAAACTTGGCCATGGTGATGATGAAAGAAACGTGTTTGAGAGATGTTCGATGAATGATTTTTGAAAATGACGGCTTGGTATCGGAGTGGTCGAACGATGAATTCAAAATAAAGGACTTTGGTAGTCCAGCATTTCACGACTACCAACCAAGAGAAAAAGTGACCGGCACGAATCGACATCTATAGAATACAACACTGAAGTCATTTCAACAGCACATTACATCGTTTCACATCATGAAACCATTCCTTCTCCTCCTCTCTTTATTGTTCCTTATTGGAACTGTTCATGGCAATACACGCTATGAGACGGATGAACTGACTGGCCACGTCGAGTCCAGCCGTGAAGAAATTCTGTCCACTCGCAAACTCCGAAAGCAACAGTTTGCGGACCTCTTGGCGGGATATGAAACACAATTGGAAGACCATAACTCTGGTGAAACTCTTTTGACTGAAAAACAGTACAATAAAGTCCTACATAAGATCAAGGCATACAAGCACAAGTTGCAAGAATTGGACTTGGATGCAGACCCAAGAGTAAGTTCGGAATTTCGTGTTCATGTTTGTGAATTCTGTGTCATGGATCAGCCTCTCATTGATCCATTTATTATTATTTGTACTGGCTGGTAGTTTGTGGACCGAATAGTGGCAAGAGAGGCTCACTTGAATGAAGTTACAAGAGCCAGAATCTTGCGTCGCAGTTCCGGTGCAGACGAGTTGTAATTGGATGATAATAATCCAATACAGTATTATACCTACCGAAAACGAACTGTCAGACGGCGATAGTATTTTATACTTGCACTGCACCGGTATGGAGGACAACCATTACCCGCTCAATCAATCACATGCAGAAAAAACTATCATCAAATATAACCATATCCAAATCTATTCTTAATTTTACATGACGACGCAGCCGTTTTGTCGGCTCTTACAGTATTAGTTGTTTTAGGAAGTTTGTTGTTTGGGTAGCCTCAGTTCCCGTTCGCTCTCTGTAGAAAGACGGCTTTGGACGGTATCAAATATCGTAAAAGAAATGGAAAAAGCGATTGGTCCTTTGAACCAGTTGAGAGTAACACCCTTGAAAAACCCCGGTATTCCCTGCTCTGCGTACAACTCTCTCACAATGGCTGCCATGGAGGGTGGTTTGGTGGGTGTGACGGCTCGAATGGCAGCCTCCACTGCCCCGGCCCTCGAGGATCCCTTTCCAACACTATCCACTGCTGCATCAGTCCCGGATGTCGGAATGATTCCAATGGTTTGCATCCGTCGCCGTGTTACTTCCAAGGGATAGGCTATCGTCTGTGCAATCAGTCCTGACAACCCACCACAGACCATTCGTTCGACGGTTGTCACATCACGTCCAGTCATATTTTGAATCTGTTCAAACAAAGGTAAAAGTACCAACCAGTACAAGAAAGATCAGTTAGCGAGAGAATCACCAATGAGCATATTTCAATGATTGTTCTCAGTCTGCACATAAATTATTACTCACTCTTCTCTTGGTTTGTTCATTCACAGAATATGCAATTCCAGAGTACGGAAGTATTCCCATCATTGTTGGTGTGATTCCCCGAAACAGCCCCGGTAGTCCCTAGAACAATATTGTGAAAAGAAGAAGAAGAAGAAGAAAGAGAATCGATATAGTACCAGTGAGCAACAATGTGTGTACAAAACATGTATATAAGGTTCGGAAGCAAGCCGACGACATACCCGATTGGTATAATTTTGGGCAATGATTTGATAGAATCTCAGATTCGGAGCATCACTTCTCCGCCGTAATACAGCTAGTTGGGCTCTCGTCAAGTCTAGTGGATAAGTGACGCACACGGATGATGCTCCAGCTAGCATCCCTGACATTAAACTCTGTAGAGGTGTCATGCCCCAAGTTGGCTTGGGTGCCTCTGGGTCGGTAATTTTTTGCTGTACATATGTCATTTCTTGTTCTCTTAACAAGAAGGTCTTGCATCTATCAAATATCATAAATTGTATACCGGAATATGGAAACACCCGTATCATCGTAGCAGTATTTCCTTTCCACAGAGCCTGGAGGCCTTCGGTGCGAACAATGTTCATGGCCACTTTGGGGACGTTCGAAATGTGAAATTCAGCAGAGGAAATCTGATAAAGGATTTTTATTCTGTCAAATGGAGCAACCACACTCTTTGCAGCCATGCCGGCAATACCCCCCGAGAGCAAATTTCGAATTTCCTTTGGAAGCTTGATGAGCTCTTCCGTTAGAGCTGATGTTTTGAGTTCCATGGTTTTGAGCTAGCATTCGCGTTGCGACTAGCGCTAATGATTGATTCAGGTCTGCTAGGCAATGATAGAGGCACCTCGATGCGATCGATCTCTCCGATGAATGAATGAATGAATGGAGTGACTAGTGTTCTTGTCGGATAACTGACTTAAGCGCCTTCAATGTTATTAAGAAAGTCGGAGGATATGATGATGTATTTTGCATCTGGTTTCTGGTTTCTTCCGTTCTTCTCCCACCTTCGCCTGTCGTGCGCCCGGCGGGAAGGGTCTGGAACTTTTACAAATGAGAGTTTTCGCAATGTACGTGTCCCGGTAATGATTCCAGATTCCTCCAATAGTGACACTTGGAACCTCAGTCTTCAACTTGTTGGGAGATCGATTTGTGATGACGAGAAACTCCCATTCAAATCATCCTTCCTCATCTTGTCCTAAAAGTCTACACTACACAAATCCATCAAAATGAAGCTCTCTATTATCGCCACCTTCTCTCTATTCCTTTCTCAATCGGCTGCCTTCGCACCCATGATGAGACAACAGCAGCAACAACAACAACAATCCCTCACACAAATGAACATGTTCGGTGGAGCCGGGGAAGGGAGACCAAAGGAAGACAATCCAGAAGAGGCTGCTCAAATTGAACAAGCGGCAAAGGCAATGGGCATGTCCGTCGATGAATACATGATCGCCATGAATGCACGAAAGCAATTGGCAGAAACTATGGACAAGACAATGATTTCCGCTGGAAGTGCGGACAAGGTCGAAGTGAAGAGGGATGTCAATAACCCACCCAAGACACTTGAAATTATCATCACCGAGGCTGGAAAGGGATTGGGACCAGAGGCACTTTCCAAAGAGCTGTGCACAAGTTTGAAGTCAGCTTCTGATGAGGCCAGAAAGGGAAGAGCAGAAGCTCAAAAGACCATGATGAACTTTATTACACAACAACTCAAGTAAACGTTAGAACAGCTGTATATAATAATGTTTCCATCATCTTAGATATCTATTGCGTATACAAAGATTGTTCTTTAGTGTTATGATTAATATAGTTCGTGGTCTAGCACTATACCCACTACTCTTTTTCTCTTAACTGAATAGGTACGAAATGACAATGTATCCGAGAATCATTCCATAAAAACCAAGGCCACTTGATTTTTGCTCCTGTTTCAGAGATTGAACCGCTTGTGCAACAGTGCCGTTAGAGTGGTGCAGTCTTGCTTGCAATTCTTTAAGCTTTCCAGTGGGAGTGACACCTAGAGCGCCCCCATCTGTCGCAACAGGAATGTTGCTGGTAGAGATTGGGCCCGTCGCCAATCGTGGACCACCACCACCACCACCTCCACTGCTTTGAATGGTTTGGACACCAATTTGGACGTCGCGAAGGACTAGAAGAATATCTTGGTTCTGCTCTTGTAGCGCCAACAACAACTGACGTAACTGGGCGTCCAAATCGACGTACAGATATGCTCCCATGGACCTACACCCATTCATAAAGGCAGGAAACAAGGAGTGCAACACACGGACCAAATCGGCCTCGGTGAGGGTTGGGAAGATTGACGATGGCAATGGATTCGTCACAGACGTCATCACTACCACTTCCACAACAAGCATAAGAATCAAACCAGTAAGCGTCCAGTCTCGGGCTTGTCCACTTTTCTTTCCCATTGTCAAAAAGAATGTCATGACACCCCAAGATACATAAAAGATACCAGCTTCCATCAAGAATTGGGTTTCGCTGTATCGTTTGTTTTGTTGAATTCCCTCATTCCCAAATTTGTTGTAAACTTCTCTCAATTCCAAATCCATGAGGACGTCGTAGGCTTGTTTCACCTTGTCAAATTGATCGGCGGCGTCCGGACTGTCATTCTTGTCGGGGTGCAGTTGGACACTCAACTTTCGGTAGGCTCGTTTGATTTCCAAAGGGTTCGAATCACGGGTGACGCCGAGCAAGGAGTAGTGATTGGGACCACGTTCCGCGAATTCCATACCTAACAAAAGCAGAAAACAAAAAGAATATGTGTCAGTCGATCAGTCGTTTTGGACCAAGGGGGTACAGTAGATACAAAAAGAGTACTTTGTGAAATCGCACGACAGACAGACAGACAGACCACAACAGGCAAAAATCAGATGACACGTGGAAGGAGGTAATGCTTGATGGATCCGCTCTTGTTGTCGTTTTTCATGCTAGCAAGTCGTTGATTTGTGCCCTAGATAGAGGCAATTGCCACTGTCGACATGAAGTGTGCTTGCTGTTGACTTTATTTGAAGCGATTGGCTCATTTTCGTACGATTTTAGACCCATCAAAATGTTCCTTGTCAAATCGAAAACTCACCAGTCTTGATTGCCGCGAGAGCTGCAAGAAAAGCAATGGCGTACATAATGCTCTTCTTGCGTTCAAATCTTCCAGGGCGTAGGATCCATGCTGTACATGGGTGCACGATGAATGTGTAGAAGAAAAATGAAGTAAGTCCGGAAAAATCGTCGGATGCAGCCTCTTGTTCGCTCATGGTGATTTATTTCTGTAAATTGTTGTCGTTTCACGAGTTGCTGATTCTATAAATGTACAGTAGAGGTAGCTAACTGGTTTTATGATGTGCAAGGATCAAGTTTGGAGCAATGCTTTGACTTGCGCGGCTTGGAATCCGTTTTGATGTTTGGTACTTGTATTATTGTTGCAGTAATAACGAGATGATGGATGATGAGATGAGCGTCGAATGTACGAAGTTTACAGTGTCTACGCAGTCGAATCGTTCGACCGACGCGCACGGTTGTCAGAGCCATCAAAAATAAATTGAAAATCCTTCGTCGTGACGAAGAAACCTCATCATATCCATCAAATAACTCTGTGCAATTCAGTTGTACTCCAAGTTCACAGTCTAATATAACACAAGACAGCACCGTCTCTTTCACAAAAGTGACTTTATTCTACATTTATATCTACTGAGAAAAAGGAATGGCAAGATATATCATGAGACTATTCTTGGCGACGATGGTCGCCAGACAACAGGCCCGTGCCTTCTCCAACACTGCCGCCTTTCAACCAGCCAAGATTGTTGCTTCTGCTCCCTTATCTACCAGAGTTGCTTTCCAGCATTCCAGGAACAATAACAATTTGCGATTATTCAGCAGTACTGCAGACTTGGATGCACTAAATGAAAAGATCACCGCCAAGGGAAACGAGATTCGTGAGCTCAAGGAAGGTGGCATCGAAAAGGCCGATCTTGCACCTCACATTCAAGAATTGTTGGCACTCAAGGCCCAACTCCCCGAAGACGCACAAGAAAAGCCAAAAAAGGAAAAGAAACCACCCAAGCAAAAGAAGGCCCCACCCCAGAAAAAGGCACCTCCAAAGAAGGTAGAAGAGATGTCCGAGTCGGAATTGAGATTGAATCGACTGTCCAAGATCGATGCCATGAGGGAAGCAAATATTGAGCCATTTGAATACACATTTGATCAGACTCGATCGGCAGCTCAGCTGGTAGCAGAGTACGATGGAAAACTAGAAGGCGGTGAAGAAGATGAAGAATCTGATGTTGCCGTTGCTGGTAGAATCATGACACGTCGAGTCTTTGGAAAGCTTGCCTTTTTCACACTCCAAGACGAAACTGGAACCATCCAGCTTCAGTTCGATAAGGCACGACTAGGAGATACATTCAAGGTAAGATTTGCGTTCAGAATACCGTGACATTGAGTGTGTTGGTGCTGTCAAGAATCGCTAAATGATGAATGTGATTTTGGTCATTCCTATAACTTTTGCAGGGAATCAAAGACTTTACGGATGGAGGTGATATTATCGGTGTGCGAGGAACCGTCAGACGTACTGATAAGGGAGAGTTGACTGTTTATGCCAAGGAGTGGAAGATGTTGACCAAGTCCATCTTGCCACTTCCTGATAAATTCCACGGACTGCAAGACATCACCAAGCGTTATCGTTCCCGACACGTAGACTTGATTGTGAATCCTGAGGTCCGCGAAACCTTCAAAAAGAGAGCCAAGATTACTTCCATGATGCGCCGAATGCTTGACGACATGGGCTTTTTGGAAATCGAGACTCCCGTTCTTCATTCCCAAAGTGGGGGTGCCGAAGCCAAGCCTTTTGAAACCTTTCACAACTCGATGGATATGGACTTGACCCTCCGTATTGCTACTGAATTGCATTTGAAACGTCTCATTATTGGTGGATTCGAGCGAGTGTACGAATTGGGCCGCATTTTTCGAAACGAAGGTATCTCGACACGACACAATCCAGAATTCACCTCGATTGAACTCTACCAAGCTTATGCCGATTATGATGATATGATGGACTTGACTGAACATTTGGTTTGCTGTAAGTATTGACCTTGCAGACTAACAGATTGCAGATGGTTCAGAATAATTCGCTGACTTTTTTTCTTTTTTTTTCTTCTTTCCTCTCTTTCAGCCATTGCTGAGGAAGTCTGTGGTGGACTCGAACTGCCATACGGAGAGCACACTGTTAGTTTCGAACGCCCATGGAGACGAGTGACCATGCACGATGTTGTCAAGGAACAAATCCCTGATTTCGACTTTGCTAGTTTGGATTTGGAAGATCCCGAATCCTTGGTCAAGGCCAAGGCTGCCGCCGGTGCTGCTGGTGTTCCCGGAGTCGAAGGCCTCAAGACTGTTGGCGAAGTCCTGAACGTTTGCTTTGAAGAATTATGCGAGCCAAAGTTGATTCAACCCACCTTTGTGATTGACTATCCCGTCGAAGTGAGTCCCTTGGCCAAACCTCACCGCACCAAGCCCGGACTGGTGGAACGGTTTGAACTCTTTGCTGTCGGCCGAGAGCATGCCAACTCCTTTAGCGAATTGACCGACCCAATAGACCAAAGAGCCCGATTTGAAGCACAAGCCGAGAAGAAGGCAGCTGGAGACGAAGAGGCCTGCGATGTCGACGAAGAATTCTTGCAAGCTTTGGAACAAGGAATGCCACCAACTGGGGGATTGGGTATTGGTATCGATCGTTTGATCATGCTCTTGACCAATGCTCCTTCCATTCGTGATGTTATTGCATTCCCACTGTTACGACCAGATACTGACGGCAAGTAAAGTAAACTAAAGACTGGTGATGTTGCATGGGGGCTACAGTAGATGACGAAATTTACTCTGTTCCATAGGAAACAATGGTTCTTTGCATACAATAAGTAATACTAGTAGTACATTGTTATCTATGGAACTTGCGCTGGGGTCTCTGTGGTTCTCTAGCTCTAGCTCACATACTCCTAGCTAGCAAGCAACAAGCAGCAGCCATAATGAATGTCTTCGACAGTGTAGCTTGATTACTACAACTCACTCTTTTCTTCGGCGGCAGCGTGTGGAAATTCACTCAACCGTTTGTAGTCCCATGGTACTCGATTCGGAGGAAATTGACCCATTCGCAATTCCATCAAAGTCTCTCTCACCTCTTGTTGGGTATTCATGACGATGGGTCCATGCCAAGCAATTTCTTCATTTAGTTTCTTTCCAGCAAAGAGCATGACTCCCACTTTCTTTGGCTCGCCGTCACCATTTTCTTCTATTTCCTCGTCGGGTGCTGCTTCCAACCGGATCGCCCGTTTGGTGTCCATGTCCAAATCCGCATCCAAAAGGCAAATAAACCCTTCTCCGACTTTGCCCTTGCCATTCAAATCCTTCAAACTACCTTGGTAGACATACAGCATGGCCGTATCCATGTTGGATCCAATATCAAATTCCACAATGGCATTGGGCGACAATTCAAAGTCGACCATTTCCACGGGCTGCACCGTGGCAAAGGGTCCCTTGGCCCCCAACAGATTGCCCGCCAACACACGAGCCGTGGCATTTTCACCTTCATCAGCAGTCAGCTTGACCAATGGCAAATCTTGCGAGGGGACCGTTCCATACTTGGGGTCGTCCATTTTGTGTTGGGACGGTACATTGATCCAAATTTGAAAGCCACGCATAAAGATTCCCTTTTCCGTCGCTCCTCCTTCGGCATGTTCGACCCCCGATCCCGTGCTCATCCATTGCATCCCAGGTGTCTCGAAAGTTTCTCGATTCCCCAAGGAATCCCCATGCCTACCAGTTCCACTCTTGAGGTACGACGCAATATCAAAACCACGATGAGGATGCCAACCGACTGGAAAATCATCAGGATCTTGGACGGGACCATTCCCTTCCATCATGGCAAAGTAATCGCACATTAAAAATGGATCACTCGCTTTGGAAGGAATGGCGGCTGGAAAGGCTTGATTGACGGATCGATGATCGCCAAAGGGATGAGTGATGCCTTGTTTGCGGACCATGCGGACTCCCATGAGTGAGGTTTTGGAAGAAATGGATTTCATGTGTGAATGTTGTTGTTGTTGTTGTTGTTGGAAGTGAGTTGTGTTTTGTGTTGTGTTGTTCCGTAGTAAATGCTTTATTCCCTTGGATGAATGAATGAATCCGCTACCTTTTTCTATCGCAGTTAGTGAAAATGTGAGTATCTGATGGGAAGCACGATGATATACTGTATACTGTATCTTGTTTTGATGGATGGTTTTCTGAAATTCCGCATCCGAACATCTTGGAACAGAAGGAAAAAGATTCCCCCGAAATTGGTGCCCCAAACCTTTAATTCAATGAAGTCGAAGGAGTCAAGGGCAGACATCAAAGGAACTCATCCGAACAAAGAGAGACGACATACTGTAACAACTCACAATAATCTGTTTGGATATGCCTCGGCTTTCATCAACTTTCATTGCCTCATCTCCTTTGAAATCCATTCTACTTTTGGTCACCATTACAACGATTTGGAAATCTGCTCTCTCGGCTTCTAGCAAAAGTCGTCGTCTTTTTATTAATAATTACAATCATCGTAGCACATCAAGTCTGTTTGCGCAAGCTCTGTCACCACTCACACCGAATAATAATCGCAATCATTCCCTGAGACAACAACAGCAACAACAACAACAACAACAGCTATTTTCAAGACACTGTTTGGCCATGTCTACTACTACTGCTACTGCTACTGCAACTACTAATGCGGCACCACCCGTCCCCCGCCGCGAAGAAGATCGTGTCGTTCTGGCGGGTGTGGCTCCGAACGATTGGGACGAAGCCTTGCCCCGTCAGTCGGAAGAATCCACCGAAGAGCTCTTGGATCCTAACATGCCAGTTTCTGATCCGTATGGTTGGATGCGTTCCGACAAGCGAGACAATCAAGAAGTGTTGGACCATTTGAAGGCGGAAAATGAGTACACTCAAGCCTGCATCAAACATTTGGAGCCACTACAAAAGGAATTGTACCAAGAATTCTTGTCGAGCATTCAGGAAACAGACTACACTACGCCACGACCACGGGGGGATTATTGGTATTATACTCGTACTTTTCAAGGCAAGTCGTACAAGCAATATTGCCGAGCACCAAAGGCAAAGGATGCTACCTTGTCCATCAAGTGGGATGGATCTGCCGAATCTCCCATTTTGGAGGGAGAAGAAGTCTACCTAGACCAAAACATTCTGGGGAAGGACAAGCCATATTGTTCGTTGGGTGCCGCTAGCATATCGCCTTCTCAAACACACTTGGCCTATGCTGTGGATTTCACGGGAGATGAGATTTACCAAGTGTACATTCGTGATTTGAAGACGGGAGAAGATGCTCCACTCTACAAACTCGATGGGGAAGACAAGGAACTCTTGGCTACTAGTGGAAACGTGGTGTGGGCAGCGGACGAGAAATCGCTCTTTTACATGACCATGGATGATCAACACCGTCCCGACAAGTTGTGGCTCCGACAAAACTGGCAAGATGCAAAGCCCAAGGAACGTCTTTTGAAGGAAGAAAGAGACGATATTTACTGGTCTCATGCCAGCAAATCTCTCGATGGAAAATATCTTTTCTTTGAAACGGCTAGTTCGGAAACCTCCGAGGCATGGTTCCTTCCAACGGATTCCTTGGACCAAGAAATGCAATGTATCGCTCCACGACGCAACAAGGTCTTGTACGAAGTTGAACATGGGCATGGCAAGTGGTACGTTTGGACCAATGTGGGTGGAACTCCCAACATGAAGCTCATGACGACCGATGCCAAGGCCAATACGGCGGACAAGTGGGAGTTGGTCTTGGACGACAAGGGTGAAGCCATCTTTGATGGAAGCTACGACAAGGCATTGGACTCGGTCACTGTTCTCAATTCTCATGTAGTAGTGGAAGGACGTCAAGAGGGTATTCCACGAGTTTGGATTTATAATCCATCGGCCAAGCAACTTCAACGACTCGAATTTGATGAGCCGGCTCACGATGTCGGATTGGGTGCTCATTACGAGTTTGAAACAGACAAGATTGCCATTGGATACGATTCCTTGGTGACTCCACCCCAAACCATGGAAATTTCCTTGGCGGCTCCCGCAGATGATCGTACTGTCCTGAAAGAAAAGGAGGTCCCAGGCTACGATAAGGAAGTCTATGGCTGTGACCGACGCACTGTTCTCTCGAGAGATGGAACCACTGAAGTCCCAATTAGCATTGTTTACCGCAAAGATGTCATGGAAAAAGCCAAGGCTGGAGAAAAGGTCCCCATTCATTTGTATGGATATGGAAGTTATGGTTCGTGTTGCGAGGCTGACTTTGATTCCACTCGATTGCCACTCTTGGAGAGAGGCATGATTTATGTTATTGCCCACATTCGTGGAGGTGGTGAAATGGGTCGACAGTGGTACGAAGAACCCAATGGAGCCAAATTCCTTTGCAAGAAAAATACGTTTAACGACTTTGTGGACATTGCTCGCTTTTTGGTGGACAATTGGACCACTCCAGCATTGCTCAGCTGTGAAGGTCGCAGTGCGGGTGGCATGTTGATTGGTTCGTCCATCAATCAAGCTCCGGAATTGTTTCGATGTGCCATTCTCGGAGTCCCCTTTGTCGATGTCGTTGGTACCATGATTGATGCTTCTATTCCCCTCACCTCGGCCGAGTGGGTGGAATGGGGCAATCCCAACGAAAAGAAATACTTTCAGTACATGATGGATTACAATCCCATGACGAATGTTCAACCTGGTGTTCAGTACCCCAGTTGTTGGTTGACGGGTGGTCTCCACGACCCTCGCGTTCAATTTTGGGAACCCACCAAGTTTGCGGCGACTCTGAGACATGCCAATCCAGAAGGAAATAATGTGGTCTGCCTCAAAATGGACATGAGTGCTGGGCACTTTAGTGCTAGTGACCGATACAAGTACTTGAAGGAATTATCCATTGATTATTCCTTCTTGTTGGATCAATTGGGCTTGACCAAGAAATAATAGAGGGAGTTGCTACTAGTACTGGTACGAGAATGACGAAAGACGAAAGACCTTTAAAAAATTAAAGCAAAATCAATCCAGTCTTCAGTTTCTTTGGAGAACATATTCAGAAGAAATGTCCAAGAACTGCACTACCTTTGGAATTACAAAATTAGACCCACAGGCAACTCGGCACCCTTCTCGATCTAGAGCCTGTCTCTTGGTGGCATTATCATCATCATTGCTGCTCCAACCAGACTTTAGTTTTCCTTTCCATAATGCCATCTCCAATATCGACGTCGCTTCCATTGTTTCCAGCTGTTTGAAGATTTCATACGTTTCCGTGCAAAAAGTTATCCTCTGTTCCGTGTCGGCTTCGGCAAGCAGTATCGTTTGAATTCTACTTTGCATGGCTCCCATCCAAGATGCAGGAGTATCCCAACGATTCAGTGGATCTAGTACCCATGTTGAAAGAATCATCTGAAGCAGCGATTTATTTGTTTCATTCCAGTTGGCCATTAGGTAGTCCCATGGTCGTTTGTCATTGGCATCTTCCAAGTTTAGAATATGGCTTGGGAACGTTTCGAGAAGGGCTTGGAGCAGATCTTGACTTGGATTGATTGTTGTGGAAAAGAGGACGTGCATGGGAGTCATTCCAAATTGATCCACGAGCGCTCCGTGGTCCTCCATGCTGTACGCCAGTCGAAGCATCTGGGCAGTGGTCGAGGAATGGTCATAGCACAGTTTGTGCATGGGGAACCTTTCGAACCGGCGTACCAAACCGGCGGCAATAATATCTGCTTCTTCACCGAAGCGATCTTGCAATAGTGGACATTTCTGAAACGAGTGCAGAAACGGTTTTGATTCGGCCGTGGACCCTTGCGGAAGCACAAGGTTCACCAGAGATTTGCAGCGACCGAAGGATCTGGTTGTAAGCTTGATTGGCTGGAAATCCAGGGGAAGCATCACGGTAACCAAAGAATGGCAGTCACCGAACGAACCGATACCGATACGCTCTATTGTCTTTGGCAGGCTCACAGTTTGTAAGGAAGAACAACTGGCGAACCCCATATCGGGAACCTCCGTGATGGCAGCATTGGATAGAATTGCTTCGACCAAGGCGTCGCAGTTCTGAAAGGCACGATCGCCAATCATGTTCACAGACGATGGAATCTTGAGTCGTTCCAGCGAACGACAGCCATAGAAAGCCCAACCGTCAATTGTCTTTAGCCGATGGGGCGATGACAAAGACTCTTCAAACACCACTGTCGTCAAGAGTTCACAGTAAATAAATGCTTTTTCTCCGATGGATTGCACTGTGCTGCAAACATTTATCACCAACAAGCTCTTGCAGTAAGCAAAAACCTCATTTCCAATCTTGATTAGTCCTTCGGGGAACGATACTTCCCTCAAGAACTCACGATGGAAGCACAATTCGTTGTGCAATTCCTGAATGCCAGGATTGAAGGTCAGTGCTTGAACGCTTGGCGGTATTTCTTCTCCCTCATTACCTTGGAAACGGTACATTACACTCGCCTGCATCTTTCAATGCTGTACAAGTGTTTATTCTTCCCTTTTGGTTGTTGAATGAATGAATATCTTAACTTGAAATGCATCCTTATTCGTATCTTTTATGGTCGTTGTAATAGACAGCGTCGTAACTGTCCGTACATACATCCGAGCGGTCCAACTACCATGTTCCACCGCGACTCATTCGAACACTCGGGGCAGGAATACTCTTGCTTGGCTTGCGATGGGGACGATGATTTTCTAATATAGCAATCGATCACATTACACTGTCTTCGCAGTCATTCCTTGACCCTCGATGCTACTTGTAGGCAATGATAGCCCACTTTATTGCAACTGGTCGATTTGAGTCTATCAACATATCATCATTTTTCTTTTCCGATTATGAATTAGTCGTTGGAGTTGAATTGCTAGAGTAGAGTATGCGTAACGATCAAATTGAAATGATACAAAAAGTATCCGATGGTTCGTTACTATATCTATCATGTATCTACTTTGCACTCACCCGCCGTCCGTTTCGGCGTGCTATTGCGCTAGTCTCTTTTGGCATTTGCTTTGGCTTCTTTAGAACGGAACGAAAGCAGTTGTATGATGCTGTCACAGTTGACCGAATCATTGAAGCTGTACGCTTCGACTCACTGGGCCTATTCTCATCAACTTCTTGTTTCTCCAAAACGATGTTTAGTCTTTTGGAAGAGGTTGAAACGGTGCTGTGGTGTTCCCCTAGAATCTCTGAACGAATATCAAGAGCTTTCTTGTGCATTCTTTCGGCTTCTTTGTACTCTCCTTGTTTCTCTAGAACCACACCAAGACAGTGATAAGACGAGGCAACCGATACATGCTTTTCCCCAAGCATTTCTAGGCGTATCCGAAGTGCATGATCATGCATTATTCTTCCCTCTTCATATTGTCTCTGTTTCACCAAGATGACCCCCAGAGTACTATAGGAGTTGGCGACCGATATGTGCTTATCTCCCAGTGTTTCCAATCGGATCCGCAATGCATTCTCATGCACTACTTTCGCCTCGTCATATTTCGCCTGGCGTATCAGAATGGCCCCAAGATTGCTGTACGAAGTGGCGACAGAGGGATTTTTTTCTCCAAAGATGTCCAGCTGGATATCCAATGCCTGTTGGTGCATGGATGTGGCCTCTTGGTACTGTTCCATTTCTTTCAAGACTCCCCCAATTTTGTTCAACGAGTAGGCCACGGATCTGTGTTTGTCACCAAACAATTCTCGTCGTATTTGCAGCGCGTGCTTGTGAGACACCAAGGCTTCCTCATACGACCCCTGTTGCTCCAGCACCCCCGCAATGTTGCTGTGCGAAATGGCCACGGACAAGTCTTTGTCGCCCAAAGTATCCAAACGAGTCTCAAGTGCCTTTTGATACATGGATTTGGCGTCTTGTAATCGTCCAAGATTTTCATAGATTGCTCCGAGCTTGTGGTAGGAAGACGCCACCAGGACATGCTGTTTGCCCACAGTTTCCAAGCGGATGCGCAGGGCTTTGTTGTGCATGGACATCGCAGTATAGGTCTGGCCTTCCTTTTCAAACACTAATCCCAAATGGCTATACGAGGAAGCCACGAGCTTATGCTTCACCCCCACCGTTTCCGAGCGGATCTGCAATGCCGTCTCGTGCATCCATTTCGCTTCTTCCAAAAGCCCTTGCTTCATGAGAATTTCACCCAGGCGTTGGTGAGAGTCCGCAACTTCGCAGACTTTGGCACCCACTAGAATGTGGCATTCCAATTTGGCTGCAATCTCGTATTCGGCCAAGCGACAATGAAACAAATGGGAAAGACGCTTGAGACGGTCCACATTCGCAGTATCTCTCATAAAAGAATCCAGAATGGAGACATTGTACTTTTTCCCTGTGGCAATCATCGTTAGCTCTTCTACTCGGTCGTCCAAGTTGCGGTCAGTATCACCAAAATAACATCTAAAGTATTCATAGTAGGCATACGATCCAAGTTCCACGCTCAAGTCCTTGACTGCTTGGCAATGAAGCTGTAGCTCGCAAATATGCCGAAACCCTAGCCCTGTGTCCATTTGAATGTGCAGACACCAATCACGGTATCCAGTAAAGGCTGGTTTTTGAAATCGATTCTTGGATTGGACAATGATAAAAAAGTCGTTGTTTTCGATTGTCTCGACAAACTGTCGCAAATGATCGCTGGAGACAAAAGTAATGCTGCCACGGACCACATCATACAGCCAAGATGCAGCTGGTCCAGGGAGGTGCCTTTCATAATCCTTTGTTGCCTTTTCCACGGCACGGCCTGCACTTTTTAGGCCAGATATATCCAAAACAATGCTTTCGCCATCTTTAGCACCAACGGAATGACAAAACTCTCGTACAAAATCCTCCAGTTGGGTGCAAAAGATGGGACGAGCTTTTTTTGCGGCATCATAGAGCTCGGAAAAGTCCTTGACTGCTATCCCCGTCATGGATTGTTGCTGATACTTGGTATTGTACGTATTCGTCTCGAGTTCAAAGTCGTCCACCACGACCATCAAATCACAATCCTGAAGAGGTCGAATGTCCTCCATTTCATCGCATTTGGCATCCATCTTCGCCTTGCATTCCAAGAATAGATGGAGGGTATCCATGAATTGCTTGTTTTCTTGGCGTAATTCCATGTCATCTGCCGATTTCTGATAAATGGTTTTGAGAATCTGATGGATCTGTGGATGAGAAAATGTTGGACTGTCATTGCCCAATTCTTCGGAACAGAAAACCTCGCTGCTTTCAATGATGTGTCTTGGCATTGCTTTTGTTGTTCTTGTTGTACTTGTCGCTTGTGGTCGTTGTTGTTGTGGTTTCAAGGCGAATGTGTGTAAGGTAAGCTCTCATGCCTCCTGCAACCTCACTTGAACCCGCGATGAGATATTCAATATGCCGGATCCATTCAAGTAGTTTCTGGAAACTCGATGTGCAGAGAAAGTCGTTGATAAAATGCGTGAATAAATGTAGTGAAAAAGTAGGAATGTGGTGATAAATAGGAACCAACATTTATACAGTCGTTTAGTATTCTAACGCCCTAAGTAAAAGTGACAAGAGAAACACGTTGAAAAGAGAAACACATTGAACATTGAAAAGAGAAACACATTGTGTACCGATATATAAAAAAAATTGACTCTCATATTATATATACACGTACTTTGAATGAATAAAAATATTTTTCCGTTCAAAAGTGACTCATAACCAGATCTAACCACCAACCCGACAAACGCGCAAAACTTGATGTGTGCTGAAACAGACAAAGAACTCTTCAGCAAAAAAGTTGCACCTTGTTCCATTGACAGCCATTGCCATTCTCGTTGAACATCAAGATATCAAGTTATTCATCCTACATCATCACTGCATAATCATCTACACAAAATGTCGTCGTCAAAATTGGCAATTCTTACAGCATCACTTTGTGTGATGATGATACTTCTAAAGTTGGATTCTTGTCAATCCTTCTCCCCCCTGAGTCATCCACACAATACTCGCAGTTCGGATTCCATCACTCGACTTGCCTACTCTTCTCCTTCGAGACGATCATACAGACAAAAGAATTCGTTTGATTCAAATGACCGCGGCTTTGATGATGATGACGAATGGACGGAAAATAGACCGTCACGACGCGGGGACTATGATTCTTCTGGTGGTACACGAGATGCGCCCATCAGAGGCAGGGATGATTCTTCCAGGAAAGATGCATCCCGAGGAGGTATCAGCCGCGACCGCAACAACAAGAGTAACAATCGCGGACAAAAGAATGGTCGCTTCGATCGTAATTATGATCGTCGTGGTGGGAGAGACGATGGTTCCAGAAACCAACGAGACTTGCGAAAAGAGACGGACGCGATTCGGCAACAGCGACCACCACAAGAAGCAGAAACCATCACAGACACAAATGCTCACTTTTACAGCAAGAAAACACTCACAGACCCGTCGTTGGGCGTAGATCAAGAAATGTTCATGAAGCTTTGCAGAGGTGCTGAAATTACGCGACCATCGAGAATACAGTCCCTCGCATGGCCCCAGATTTTGAGTGGAGCACATACCATTGTCGCGGATCAAACCGGGAGTGGCAAGACCCTGGGATATTTGTTGCCTTTATTACAACGAGCCTTGCAAACACCTTCGGACAAGAATCTATTGGGGGCGCCCAAGGTTCTCGTGCTAGCACCTACCGCCGAACTGGCCGATCAACTTCGAGTGGTCTGCGACAAGATTGCCCAAACGGTTCCATTCAAGACCATGGTCGTGACTGCCAATGGAAAGATGAAAACATCGATTCGGGATCAAATTCGGATCATTCAACGTCAACCCATTGATGTCATGATATCGACGCCTGGTAGAATTTCCACCATTCTTCGGACTCGGAACTCGGGGTTGGACTTGTCACAGCTTCAAGCCATTGTGTTGGACGAAGTTGATATTTTGCTGATCGACGAAACCTTTGGACCACAACTGCGAACCGTTGGAGCCGCAGCACCTCTGGAAAAAACTCAGTTTGTATTTGTGACTGCGACCCTTCCCGACTCGATTGTCCAAACGGTGGAGCGAGAATTTAAGGGGGTTGTCCAAGTCCGAGGACCTGGATTGCATCGAGTGGCACCAACCGTCAAGGAAAACCTAGTCGATGTATCCGTACCATCCGCCCAGAACAGAGACGCCGACATTTGTTTTGATGTCAAGGCCAAACAGTTGTTAAAGGCGCTGCGGCTGAACCGATGCCGTAGAACCTTGATCTTCTGCAATACCGTCGAATCCTGTCGTTCTGTGGAAAACTTGTTGAACCGCAAGGATCGTCGGGGTCAAGTCTTTGATGTGGGAGCATATCACAATGCTATGACTCCAGAAGCGAGAAACAGGAATTTGGATCGATTTTCCAAGGGCCGATATGGTACCACTGACGAGGACGACAAGGTGGATTATGTGCTAGTTTGTACCGATCGGGCTGCCAGAGGCGTCGACTTTGACGCTTCCCCTGTCGATCACGTGGTGATTTTTGATTTCCCCAAGGACCCTGCAGAGTATGTGCGCCGAGTCGGACGTACTGCCAGAGCTGGAAGAGCTGGTGCTAGTACCGTATTTGCCTTTGGATGGCAATTGCCTATTGCACGAAAAATGATGGGTACCAAATTAAATAGTTTTACCATGGCACTGGATGGAACGGATAAAGACGTTGAAGACGAAGAATACAAATCCCGCAGGCAGCTAAACAAAAGGGGTAAGAATAAGAAGGATACCATCAAGGCCAATATTGAAGACGGGAGTCTCTGGGAAAACTAAACTTGTAAACTGAGCACTGGCCTCCACCATCCTCTGTTACATCGTCATTATTACTTTCAATCGTATCTTTTTCAGTCTGCCATATCTAATGATAAAATGAGAATGTTCCCTAGAAACCGTGAACCGACGACCATAATCGGTTCAGGTATCCGTCATCAATCTATGTGTACCCCTTGCAGTGGCAGTGTACCATCCAAAGGTGTACTCCCACACAAAACACAAAAGTATTTTATGGATGTCGTGGCCATATCTCTTGACATGTCGCATCGTCTGGTTCTCGTTCATGATGTGTGGTACACTTGTACAGGTACACGTGTACATGTACTTGTACACGTGTACAATATTTTTTTATTAAATAGAAGCGAGTAAAAATATTATATCTACCGGCGCTATAAAATACAATAATGCGTACGTATGATCGATGATCACTTTCGCATACGTAGGACTTCAATAACTATAATACAATAGCTCTTATTTCACTTTTGCAAGCAACCAAGGCAAACGTTACACACAATAGGTGCCTACAGCTTAAGATGTCAGAAGGAGCAGACAAAATGTCAGAGGAAAAGCAGAGCTCATGTTCTGGCTTTGAAGGCAACGTTGTCGCGAAAGGATACACTATGGCAAGTTGAACAAACATCCAGGGAGGTGATTACAAAACGACAATCCAGATTTCTAACATTTCACTCCTCCTCTCGCCAACAGAACACTATTGGTCGTGGTCTTGTCATTGCTACTAATGTGTTTATGTCAACATCTCTACTCTATTTGGCTTCAGAAGAAGTTGGATGCATAGATGGAGAAGGAAATTCGATTGATTGTGATAATAAAGTGTATGGATTTCGGCCTTCATCCTTGCTGACCAACATTGCCGTCATTACTGGATTGCTTGCAGCCTTCCTGAATCCAATTGTTGGAGCTATTATCGATTTCACTGATCATCGTCACGCTTTAGGCTGTGCGGCCTCCGTTGCAATGATTCTGATTCAGGCCATTCAATCATATACTGTCAGCTCGACATGGTTTCCCATGGCAATTCTGCAAGCAGCAGTCGTCTTTATTTTTGAAGTGTTCTTGATGACAGCCTATGCTTATTTGCCGGAGCTCGCGCAAGAGGTTGGAGAAGAGAAGATGAAAAATTTCTCGCCAAAGTTCATTATGTCCCAGTTCTTCTTCCAGTCCATGCACCTTGTGATCGTGCTGGCAATCAGCATTGCACTAAACACAAGTACTGTAGTAACAGCGCAAATATCCCAGGGATTGGTCTCTGTTTTCTTGAGTGTCTTTCTGGGCCTGGCTTGGTTCAAGTACCTACCCAAGGCAAAGGCCAAGAGACCATTACCAGAGGGAAAATCATTGTACACCGCTGGATTCTCACAACTTTTTCATACTATCAGATTGATTAACCAGGAATACAAGAACAGCTTACGTCCTTATCTGCTGGCCGTGACTTTTGCCGAGGCGGGGGTCAATGCTTTTATTGTTTGGTAGGTTCCTCTGCGCTCTATTTCTCCTCTGTCATTGCAACACCAAGTCTTACACAAACAACAGTGCTGTGACTTACATGAACGAAGTCATCAAGATGAACAGCACAGAAACTGGTGTTGCGTTTCTGATTGTCTTAGTTTCTATCATTCCGGGTGCCAAGTTTTCTGAATTTGTTACGACCAAGATGAGCATGAAGAATTCGTGGAGAATTAATCTTTTCTACTACTCTATTGCAACTGGAATCGGCGCATGGTTGATGAAGGATGAAAGCAGCAAGATTATCACATACATCATGTCGATGTTTTGGGGTCTCGGTTTGGGTTGGTACTACTCCGTCCAGACTGCTTCCTTTTCGGTGCTTATGCCACAAGAGCAAGCTACTGAATTGTCTGGTCTATTCAGCTTTTGCGGCATTGTCCTATCTTGGCTGCCACCATTAGTCTTCACCATTATGAACGAAAGCGGGATCCACATGCGATATGGCGTGTTGCATTTGGTGGCATACTTATTGATTGCGATCCTTTTTCTATCGGCAATGCCCGATTGGGATGAGGTCTTGACGGAATCGCACCTCAAGAGTATCGACACAACTGCCGAGAACAAACGTGAAGAATCATCATCTCATCAGGAAGAAATTGGGAAATGTTAGGAGTCACATTAAAACGAAAGAAAGAGCAATCTTTGGAATTCAAAGTGGCGAGCCGGCCACTTTTGTCTTGAGTCACAATAGCCGCAGTGTTCCACCGTGGCCTGTGAAATCATCGCATAAACTTTTTTATAAGCTTATAGAAACCAATAGGCAATTTACGGTGCATCTGACAATGCTTGGTAATTGCAACTTTGTGCATTAGCTTCCTTCGTGGCACGTGGTATCGCTTGAAAATGAAACGAAGGTTCCCATTTCAATAGATCTATCGTTTCATGTTCGAGCTGAAGCGAATCTGAGTATTCAGCAAGAGCTGAAAGGCGACCAACATCGAATCCCAAAACCGCCACTATGTTTGGAACAGTCATACGGATTATGAGCCGCCAATTGAAGACAACCAATCAGCAATACGATTGAGGCACAACCATTTCCTTCAACAACCAAAACGTAGCATCCCTCCTTGGAACTTCCAAGCTTGGCTTCTCCCAGTCATCATTGTCCCTATAGTACAGCAATCTCGTTGCCCGTTGGAGCACTTGAGGCCAGAGATTCTTTGGCATTTGTTTGGAACTCGGCTTCCATGCGCGGTTGACATGCAACTGCACATTGTATTTGTTTTCACATTGTAACTCGGTAAATCTTCCTACGTTCACTTGCTCCAGGCTCTTGTTGCGCAAGAGTGCATCCGCAAGGGCGTCTTTCCATGAATCGGTTTGGACCTTTGCATCAATCGCAATTTTCAAGTGTCGGAGGCATTTCATCTCTGGTAGTTTGAGAACAAATTGCAACAAGTCTTGGTTGGTCATATGATGGCCACCAAGTGATAGATGTTGGAGTGTCAAATTGTCGCCAATCAACAAACGGTCCAACGGAGAAAGATTCGAAATGTTGGTGTCCACAAGTTGGAGTGAGACTAGTGACTGGAACAAACCAACAGTATCCATGATACGGGAACAATCCAACGTGATTCCCCAAATGATTAGTTCTTTCACTGATGTATTTCGGTGCATAAAAATATCGCCATCGTCGGTGTCGATGTCCATGGCCGACTCCTCCATCACCGGAGATGGCTCGATTCCTCGCATGCTAAAGCGTTCCAACGAGCAATCTGGTCGACATGTAGCTTCCATCAAATCATCCATTGGCAGTTGTACAATACACCGCGGATCTCCTATAGATAAGCACTTGAGTTTCATATCGACCACTGCCGCTCGAATGGCATTGGAAAAAAACCTATCCCCTTCCACGGTTGGCAAATTAAGGCTTAGACTTTTCAGGCTTCGGTTTTGTCGCAGAGCATCTACCAGCAATGGGATGGCCACTTCGTGTTCTTCAAAAATAATGTCCAGATGCAGTTTCTGGAGAGATGACGAATATGCTATTCCATCAAAGATGTATCGTGCTTGGCTCGTTGAAATGGCACCAAGCTGATACAAATCGAGTTCTTTAATGCTGTGGTGTTGAAAGGCTTGACAAACTTCCAGGTTACGCCTCAGCGAATCTGAGAGCTCCAACCGCTCTGTCTTGTTGAGAATCAGTGCAAATAGAGCCACATAGTCTGGCGAGAATCGGTAAATGTCGTAAATGGTGACCTTGCGAAGTTTCTTTGGAAAATTATTCAGCATGGTTGAAATGAAATCACAGTCATAGTCGCCCCCAAACTCGGCCCATATCGTCATTCGAACAACATTGTCTTGCAGGTGGGGGTGGGAATGTAACGGTATCAGACTGTTGTCTTCCTCGTCACAAAACTCTACCGATGCCATGGTGCTATTGTTTTAATTGTTCTGTCCATCTGCATCAAACGCAGGAGTACAGTTCGCACAGTTTCAAGTTACTGGAGCCAATGGTTCGATACGAACATTAAGTCTATCAATATTACCGGACCTACATAGTACATATATAAAACTCTTGATACGAAGAATGAATCACAATGTTCTCCATACGGACGAAGGCCGTACGGCCTTCCTCAGTCATCATTCTCAATTCTTCACGTCAAAAACTACAGTACAGTAAGCAATGACGGCTTGTATTACTGTAGTTTATCGGCATTGGCGTACGGCCTTCCTAAAGTCATCATCCTTCATCACGTCGAAAACCAAGCAATGATGGCATACTACTGTAGTTTATCGGCATTGGTTGAATTGATATGTAGGTCGTACGTTCATTGACCCACCAGCTTCACAACCGTAGAAAGACCCACATATTACAGCAGGACGAACACACAAGCAGAATGCAAGTTTCAGTCGGAGGAGTCAAATGTATTTTCCATGCTCTATACCAGTATCTCATCATACGGTACATCATCATAATATCATGACGTCATTTCATTCATTCAGACAGTACTTACGATCCAGCACATCCTTCAAACGATCACACGCAGCCTCGGCCTCTTCCTCTGCTGTTATCAAAGATTCTGCCAAACGACGGCGACGGAATCTTCTGGATCCACACACTTGGCTGGGACCTGAGGATGCGATGCCTCGCGGAACAATCGATGATCCGAAGGAAGCACCTGCTATTCATGCCCCAGTTCCATAAAGTCTGTAAGAACTGTAGAGCCATCTCGAGCAAGGGTCTCACCAGTTGTGAAGTTTCCAAGGATGCCGACAGTGTTTCCAAAGGCTTCCTTGGAGGAGTTTCCAAATGAGGCCTTGGCGAGCTCCTTGAAGGCCGAAAGAGTAATCTTCTGTCCAGAGTAGACAAAGTCGAAATTAATCTCGATGCGAGTGTGGAAAGGGGCCAGTGTCACGGGAAAGCCAGCAAACTCGGTCAGCTCGCCTTGGTACTCGTAATTGATCCAATAATGAATCTCGGTATCCAGCTTTCCTGGCTTTCCTTGGATCTCCAAGACCTTTTGGCCAATTCGAACCACAGCACTCTGGATATAACTCCAGTAACGGATCATCTTGGCTCGAATCTGGACAACGAGTACAAGCCCGTTGGCAAATTCAGGATCCTTAGCGAGGACAATGTCGCACTGTCCATGATATTCAAAGTGTTCGTTCTTTCATGTCTTGAAGTGTGGATCGCCATTGGATCCAAGGTCTCTGGGTTTCTCTAGAGGTCCTCTGGTTGGCCCATTTGCAGGTTCAGATGATGGCCCACTCGTTGGTCCGAAAGTGGGCTCATTCGTGTGACCTGTGGAGGGAGCAATGTTAGGGCCAGATGTAGGACCAGATGTTGGACCTGACGTCGGCCCATTTGTCGGTACAGATGTAGGACCAGATGTTGGGCCAGAAGTAGGATTTGAAGTAGGGCCTGACGTAGGGATTGGGTCGTCTTGAAGCAGAAGGGAGGGCCTTTGGGTCCATTACAAGGTCTTCATTTGATGGTCTTGGGTTGTACGGTTCCTCTGAATTGAAGCAAAAGGTCTTGTCATCCAAATAGTCGACGCCACTATAACCGTCTGGGCCATGGTACTCAAACACCGAAAGCAAAGGATCGAGACCATCAAAGGTGACGTGAATCACAGTTCTTGGTGTGGATACAAAGTCAGTAAATTCAATTCCAAAAGCCCATGGCAATACAATTGTAGGCCCCCACTCAGATCGGATTCCGGCATTCCATCCGTCGGCTGGATCATAATCCACACAGCCTTGGCCATAGGAAAGCTGATTGGCTGTGTTTCTAGAACTGCTTCCTGGGCACTGGCACCTATCGCGCTGACAAAGAGAAGGGTTGGGACAACAATTTTCATCATCTCGCTCGATTCTGGTGTTTGTATGATATTCCAACGTAGACCGCAGGCACACTGTTCGATCTCTTTGACTACATTGTGTTACAGACGGACAAAGGCCAAACGGCCTTCGACCGTCAAAAGTTGTTGTCGATGCGCCGAGGCAATGATGCCCAGTTTATCGACTGAGATTGAATTCACCCACTTGTGTCGTGGTAATTCAATTTTTCTCTCCCAAACCTCACCCGCCCTGTTGGGCACCGCCTCCATTTTACCATATCGGCGGTGCCTGGTAGGAAAGCAGATCTCAGTAATACCGCACACGGGATTTCTGAGATTGGTCGAACGAATCGAGTCTATTACTCGATCAGTTCGACCCGCTTCACACCACAACCCACCAGCTACACACCAAGACAAAATACTACGAACACACACACGGAGGACGGCAGTAGGCTATCTTAGATAGTTTTGTCAAAGGAATGAATCAATCTTGTCGATGAGTTATGAAAGTTTGACAAACGCCAATTTCACATTGTACGTACTGTATGGTGTCGATAGATGGATTTTTACTTTTTCTTTTACGCTTCCGGTACCGCCCTTTGAGCTCGCACTGAACTATATATCTTTTTTTAAAAAGAGAGGAGAAGAATGCATTCAAACTATTCTTGGTGCGAAAACGAAAGATCCAAAATTTCTTTTCGTTGCTAGCATCACTTATATGGAAATACCAAAAAGCTTGTCACATCATATTATATTACAATATAGAACATGGCAGACCTTGCAAACCATAATTGAGCCTGAATCACGAATGATGGACGAGAGAAAATCTGTTGTTCTTCTCATATTCAATATCCCGCAACCGTACCAGCAGGTACCGGTAGGGGAGAACTTGTGTGGGGTCCGCAACCGGCGGAGGCTCCCGTGGTAACTTGCCCATACGTGCAATGTAGTGCGAAAAAAGATGCTCATAGAATTCAGCTGTGAAATGATTGAAGTTCACCCTTTTCATTTTTGATCAATCGAGCAAGAGGCATCATGTCTGAAAGCAGTGATATCATTGAAGTGTCGTACGACGATCAACCAAAAGGTGATCCAATAGAGGAGAATCCTCCAGAGACTCCAAAGAAAAGGCGATCCTCAACTCACCATTCATCGCACACTACATGGACCAAACGTTCTTCTAATGTCTCCACCACATCCTCTCGAACCTCGCACTCTAAAAGATCCAATTACTCGAAATCACCCAAAACGCCAAGCTCGAGGAGATCTGATTATTCCATGTCCCCCAAAACCCCTTCTAGTGGAAAATCGCTCAAGAACCACCAAAGATCCAACAGTTCCAAGTTGATGATTTCCACCAAGTCTCCAAGTCGATCCTCCTCGCGACGTTCGCACACGAAGCGGTCGGCAAGTGATCGAAATGTCTTTTCGTCACCATCAGGATTGCTCTTGGACGAAAGTGAACGATCCAGACAATCTCATTCTAAGAGGTCTAGCAGTGATCTCTTGCTGCCAGAAGAGCTGCCTTTGAATGATGACGACGTCAGTATTGATGATTCCAGTGGCGAGGACGAACACAAACAAAAGAACTCCTCCAAACAAGATAGTAGAAGCTCTAAAAAGCAGGATGGTCACTCCAAGGAACACTCCAGCAGAAGTTCTAGAAAGCTTGAGGGTATATCCAAGGAGCATGCCACCAGAAGCTCTCGAAAACTGGATGGTCGATCCAAGGAACACTCCAGCAGAAGCTCTAGAAAGCTGGATGGATTGTCCAGTAGAAGCTCCAGAAAGCTTCAGCCGGAAGATGACTTGGAACTCCAGTCTCCAAGAAAGTCAAAATCCAAAAAGAGTCCACATGCTTTGGATAGCGACGTTTTGGCATCCGAAACGCATGTGGATAGTTCGGATGGTGGTGATCACGGAGAGGCAGTAACAGCTGCCAAAGACAAGCCTGACGAAAACGAAGAAAACGAGAAGAAGCGAAAAAGAAAAGGCGCTCTCTTGTGTTGTTTGCTCTTTTTGCTCCTTATTGTCGGAGCCATTATTGCCATTCTCTTGCTCCGATCCAACGATGATGAATCCACAATTACTAAACCGGACACTGTTGTTGTGGACACTAATCCCACGGCTCCTCCTACTTTGCCACCAACTGAGGCAACGGATCGTCTCACTGTGGGCCCCACAGCAGCTGGATATCGTCCTTCCAAGGAAGATTGCGAAAAGGTTGCCAATCGCCTTCCTGTATTGGATCAAGAAAATATGGTTACTCGAAGGTTTGGTGTCATCTTAGACGTGACGTTGGAAGCTAAAATAGGTGACCAACAAACGACGATGAACTTTTTGGAAGCAGAGATTCAGAGATTCTTGATGCCCTTGCTTGTGGGCTGCTTTGAAGATAACAACGAACAAGATCGAAGAAGCTTACAAGAGATCGAAGATATTCTGGAAGGAGAAAGATACATTGTGGCCAATGGCTATGTCAATTGGGCTCCAGAGACTTTGGAAGATCTCAAAGAATGTCAATCCGTGATGTGCTTTGGTGGTACATTCGACTTTGACTTATTCATGAGAGATCCAGATGCCAAGTACTTGACTATTGTGAGTCTGATGAGTGCAGTCTTTGGGCGAAATCTGGTATTCCCTTTAGGCCTGGAAGCTCCATTCATCAGCGTGATTGTCCGAGCAGTGATCAATGAAGACAAACCAACACCTGGTGAGGGTGATGGGCCATTACCCGTTATTGCACCATCGGATGTACCAAGTTCTGTTCCATCTGGAAATCCAAGCACAATGTCGGTTACCGGATCGCCTACCCGAAAGCCAAGTCCTTGTCCAACGATTGCTCCAGCGCCTGGAGTGACGCAAGAACCTACTTCAGAACCATCGCTAAGACCATCTCCTGGGCCGACACCGCCACCAACTCCTGGACCAACGGGACGGCCAACGCCTCCTCCAACGCCAGGTCCAACCATACCTCCATCACCAGAACCGACGTCTCTACCAACACCAGAACCTACTGTCGCGACACCGCAACCCAGTACTTCATTTAATCCGACAAGGGCACCAGTAGTCGGACAGACGCCTGATCCGACCTCGGGACCCACATTTACTCCTACTTTTGAGCCAACCTTTGGACCTACTTCTGAGCCTACAATTGATCCTACATTTGAACCAACCTGCGAGCCAACCTACGAGCCTACGTATGAACCTACCTACGAGCCCACTTTTGAGCCCACCGATGAGCCAACCTATGAGCCTACCTTCGAACCTACATACGGGCCTAGTTTTGAACCAACGCCTGTTCCAACCTCGGCGCCAACTTCTGTGCCCACATCCTTGCCCACTTTGGGCCCCACCCCAGCGCCGGTGCCGGTGCCAACGCCCGCACCAGTTCCTCCCCCAACTCCACCGCTAGTACCTCCCCCAACATCTGCACCTGTCACTGCCGGGACTTCTGGACCAACTCCTTGTGTTGCGTATAGCTCAACCTCTGACCTTGAGTCAGCCACATCTCGTGATACCTGCAAAGCTCACTTGGATGCTGGATTTAGTACAAATGGATACTATCTCATAGCTCCGGGACAGTCTGGAACTCCTTTTGTTGTTTACTGTGACCAAACAGCAGGTGGATATGCTCTGTTTGTCCATCATAGTGACGAATCAATGCGTGTGGAAAAGTCAGTTGTTACACCATGTGCTTTTGGGGTTGCAACTGCTGCAAACTGGAGAGCTCTCCGCGATGTAATGGCCGATGGCATATGGGCGGAAGATGAGAATGGCAAGAGATCCTTCATCTCAAAGGCCGCAATGCTTGATAGCAATTGTGGAACACCACTTGACATAGATTCGCTTGTTGGGACCTACTACGATCTGGTTCTAGGTATGACTGTGGATTATTTTACGAGAATTTTTCTTGACGATCGTGGACCAAATATTTGTGACGGTAATGGCAACCAGGCCAGTAACGGGAGTGTGGATTCCATCGGTCTTATGGATCCATTACTTGGCGTTTTACCTCAGGATTTTGGGGCTTCACTCTACAATGCTGGTGCCTGGGATCCTTGGGCTTATGGAACCTTGGACCGCTCGTACACCACGCACAATGAACTCAAACTATACATGAAATAATATTGTTGGTAGCATAATATTTAATACATAGTGACTTGCTTCTTCACATCATTTGTATTCTAGTACTATCAGAAGCATCGTCGTAGGATGAATGATGTTATTCGAAGTGAGGTAGTTCGTGAAAGTGAGGCGTTGGGGAATGAAATATTGTCACTAAGCTGGATTCTTCTTGTACCTAGTAATTGTTTAGTCATACTGGTACAGGGTACACTACCGGCACTGTTTGCATACTGTACTGAGATCGGGAAGTTCGTGGTGTTGAATTCAGAATGGTGCCACGACAAAATAGTAGGAGTCAGTCGCTCACACGCATGCCGGTGCACTTTTTTAAATGTAGAAAATTCCTGCTTGACTATCTAGTCGAATGGAACCTTCCTTTGCCCGCATGTTTTTCACAGGTAGTCTTTTTAGCTGCGTCGCTTCTTACTCTATACTATTAATATTGTCGTGTTATAGGCTGAGTAGAATCAATCAAAACGTTCTCCATTGCCATGCAGGGAAGTTCGGAGACTGGCGCTTTGGCGGCATTAAAACCGTATCTGGAATCTGTCTTCTCAATAGAGGCTGAAAAACCTTTCCCCAATTGTAGGGTTGGAATCCGTGTGACAAAATCCAACAGATGGAAAGTCTTTTATGTTAGCCAAATCAGAGAAGATTCGATATTTGTCAACACAAAACTCAAGACGGGAGATGTCCTCGTCACCATCAATGGAAAACCATGCCCGGATACTCTACCAAATGTTTTGGGGATGTTGGCAAGCATGACTGGCCCTGTCAAGCTTACGGCAGCCGCTACCAAATCTTCCTTTGATATCGAATATGACGATGAAGAAAAAGGCGAAGAGAAAGGCATCGCCACTTCCTTCAGCACCTCCTCGCAGTCGACTCATGTAAATTTTGCAGGTGAGGTCACCAGCCGCAGGTTGACTACTTTTGAAGTTACCAAAAAGAAAAAGTCCGACAAGCTTGGCTTTACAGTGCACGTTTCGAGATTCAAGAATCCCGATGGTTCCAATCAACTAATTGTTACAAGGGGTCAGCGAGATGGCAGCTTTCCCGATCTCAAAAGCGGGTCGATACTCCGTTCCGTCAATGGAAAACCGGCTACTGACTACAAGAAAACTGTCAAGCAATTAAGATCTTCGAGGTCTCTGAATATAGCTGTGGAGGAACCCTTGCGTCCCAGCCTCTTGGGACAGGATCAACGGTCCATCATGTTTGGCAAACGGCATATCAAAATCGAGACACCTCCCAAAGGCGTCATTATCATTTGGTTTTTGATTGCAGTGGAATTGCTTTTTGATCTTGTTACAACTTCCTTTGCATTCAAGGCTTTTTTTGAAGAATCGAGAACCTGCTGTGGAGAAAAGATTGACAGTGGTGCAATTCCCCTAGCTACTGCACTCCCATTTGCCTTTTTGGTCGTTGCCGAATTGGGCTTTTTGCTGCGGGCAATGAGACTCACCATGTGGCCTCCTACCGTTTCAGAAGAAGAATTGGATCCAAATCGATCGTGCATTTCCAAGCTATTTTTTGGCAGTAACCCTGGTATTGTGATATTTGTCATCAATTTTTTGACCGTCATCAATCCTTTCTTTGGATTCATCATTGCATGGATGTTGATTTACCAGTCTGATGAAAAAGAAGCATACTTTGTTGTTGGAATGGAGAGCATTGCAGTTATATTGCACTTTATCTCAGTTCATTATGAGGGGCAAGCAAGAACCATGGTGGGAAAGCTCATACACTCACTTGTCATTATTCCCTTCTTGGCAACTGGGGTACTACTTTCGTGGTTCTTGCAAGTAAAGGGAATATGTTACAACTCGGAAGTGAATTTGTTCTGGTTTGAGGGTTGCGAAGTTTGTCCGACTGGAGTGCCACCAGAAAATGGACTCTGTCCCATCATTGAGACTTTGAACGGAACCAACACAACGGTGGGATATGAACAGTACTATCTTTGGGAGTTGGAGCAAACAAACTATTGTGATGGGGAATTTCGTATGTGCTTTTTCCCGTCGGACTAGGGCTGTGGGGAGGCGTCAATTTGCCAGAGGGAACCCGGGCGTCAAGTGGCAACGTCCACTTTAAACACATGGCAACGAGTGCGGACATTTTAAAATACACGCTTGTACAAACGCAATGCAGCCGGAGGCGAAATCAAGAGGCTTTCAGTTGCTTCCACCCTGAGCCAATAATCAGTTCGTGCTTTATTGCGCAAAGAAGCTCTCAGGATGCGGGTAAATTGCCGACATTGTTGCCGATGGCGACATTGCCAAATGCCAGTGAAAACATTCATATTGCGCATAGAAGAATGGTAAACACAAATAGCAGCTTTCTTCATCGTTCGCGTAGCTCCTCATCTTGCTTGGTGCTCTTATTGAATCTACACTCATCGTCCCATACTGTAGCAAAGAAGTCGCATGAGTCAAAGCCGCCCGATGTCAATGAGTCGAACGAGTCAAATACTGATCCAAATAAAATGATATGATATGAAATGAATGACACGCGCCACCCACCGGTACAGTATCCACACACGTGATATGATGCCAAAAATGAAACACTAAGACATACGTTCTTTAGTGATCCTCAATGTTGGAAAGAGCGATCCTTTGAATATATACACAGCTTCATTATCTATAAAGAAGACAAAATTCTGAAGTCTAATTGGATATCAACGTGATGAACACTTCAGTGGACGACGGAGATTCACGTTGTGCAATATGCTATGAAGAATTTGGCGACTGTTCGGAATTCGATGAAGAAGATGCAAGATGTATGCGTGTAAATGTGAAAGGTTGTCAGCACCTATTTTGCCGTAACTGTCTACTGCATCAATGTTCGTATTCCCTATCCAACCGAGACTATCCTATTGAATGTCCAGCAAGCCCTACCAACTGCGACAATACCATCACTGATGAACAAGTTAGAGATATTTTGCTCCGCCCTTCTGCCGAGAAAGCCGACGATTCACGTAGGGGCGTCGCAAAATGGAGGGACTACCTTCGATTGAAACAACTTTCAAAGGATCCGACCTTGATGCCCTGCTCTCGGTGCCAAGAGATCGTTTCAAAAGCCGAACACATAAAGGACGAAATTACCTGTCCTAGCACTCTAGAATGCCCGTCATGTAGGCATGTATTCTGTTCCATCCATGGGGATGCTCATCCAATCCAATCATGTGCCTTTTACAACAAGCAAAAGACCAGTTGTCTGGACCGCAAGTCAGAAAGGCTTATAAGGACGAATACAAAGCCTTGCTCTCATTGTGGGGCTCCAATTGAAAAGGCATCGGGTTGTGATCACGTTGTCTGCCCTTCCTGTGGAGATGATATGTGCTATCGGTGTGGGAAACATGATTTGACTGGAAACACAATTCGTGTTTGCCAAAACTGCGATCGTTCCTACGTCGACCATCGTCGAATTTGGAAGTATCGATTGATCATTTGTTTGAGTCTACCACTTCTCATTCCATTTGTCGTTGCCTATGTTGTATTAATGGCCGGCATTTCTATTGTGTCTCTTTGCTGCTGTTTCTGCCAGTGTGTGGGGCTGGAATTGGATGAAGAAGGGCACAAATCCTTTTCTTTGAAACGCGGTGCTGCAAGGGTAACTTTGGTGGTTTTCCTTCCAGTATTGGATTTACTCGACACTTTTGGTGCAGACTGTGGAATTAGTGCGATGCTTCAGAAACATGGGCTAGAGCAACACATTCCTTCGTCACAACATACAATAACAATGATGACAAGAACTGGTGCCGACAATGGCAAGGACGATATTGATTCTGAGGATTACGAAAGTGATAGCAGTCATGAAAAGGTTTGAGTGAGTCAGTCATTTGTGAAAACAAGGAACCTCGAACAAGCCTCTGAAATAATGACCAACCGAACAGCGCGTTTGGAACGATAGTCACATAAAATAATCTTCATTCTTAAAAACAATACATTCAGAATAAACCCAATGTTTCCAATGACTGTATGGTTCTACTGTATTATATATATGCTATGATATCCTTCAGTAAGTCTGCCCTGTGTAGGAACCGGTACCGCACCCGCCACCAACTTCCCATCTGACACTTTTCGTGTCCTTCCGGAAATTCCTTTGCAGAAAAACCAAGTTCAGATACACCAACAGCACTCGAGCAGCTCTTGAAATCAGTATGGTAGCGCCAAGGCATGTTGCTCTGTGGTTAACTGCAGCGACGCTTACTCCTTTGAGCTTTGGGTTTTCCAATTCTTGCTTCCGTTTCCGACTTTCGCCACCACTATAGCAAATGGACGGTCCTATACCGCCGCTGATGATGAAATCAGTAAGGGGAGATGATGCAAAGACACGAAGAAATAATAACCTCGTTGCAGTTTCCCTGTTGGATGGTTGGAAGGAAACAGAGAAGGAACATGGATTAATAAACGCTGCTCAACTGCCGGCATCGCTTATCCCAGTCTTGTCGTCATCCTTCTTAATAACTGGCAACACGGTTGGGGCTGGGATGCTTGTTCTACCCGAGCTTGCAGAAGGTCCAGGTATGGGCATTTCAACAACAATTTTCCTTGTAAGCTTCCTCATCAACTTGGTATCTGGGCTGATAATTGCCGAAGTCGCAATCAATCAACATGCAAATAGTGGCAACGATGTTCCGTCGTCATTCAAAGACTTTGCACAAGTAAATTTGAATTCAAGATTAGCTGCAACAGTAATTTCACTCATTTCTATTTTTGTGAACGGGCTTGTCATGGCTTTCAATACAGTGAAGATTGGCGCTATGGGTGCCGATGCGTTTCAGGGTGCATTGAGCAGCGACACTGTTTCTTTGATATGGGTCGCCGGTTCCGCTGCTCTCATTGGAACCCAAAGTTTCTCCTCTTTGTCCCGAGTGGCATCTTTACTCGCCACTGGACTATTCGTTTCCTTTGCTGGGATCCTATTGCCGGGACTAGCGCATGTTACCCACGATCCATTTACACTCCTCTTCACACCCGGAATATCATCCAACTCGATTGCAAGTGCAGGAGAGCTGGCACCAGTAATTCTTATGAGCCTGGTATATCAGAACATTGTCCCTACAGTTACCAAATTGAACGACTACGATCGAACGAAGAACACTATGCCAATTATACTTGGATCAATCATTCCGTTACTCATGTACTTGGCCTGGACTTTTGCTGTTCTTGGAGGAGGTATCAACAGTTCTGCAGGTCTTGAGGGTCCTGTCATTTCCATATTCTTTCTAACTACACTCGCTGGATCCAGTATTGGGTGCATCATGTCCCTGGCAGAAGAGGTTAAGAGCTTTCTTCAACCGCCAGGAAACAACGCGAATGACGCATCAACTGACAACGACAAATTTTCATTTCTCTCGGTTGCTGTTTCTGTTTGTATCGCTTGGATCGGGGCGATGTACTTCGAGAATAACTTGAACGATGCTCTTAGGATTGCGGGAGCGTTCGGCTCTCCACTCCTATACGGTGTTTTGCCAGTAGTGATGGCTTTCAAAAGCGAGCAGCGAGCACAGCAAGAACTTCCTGTAGCAGCTTTGACAACGCTAGGATTGGCATCAACGGGTATAATGGGGAATCAGATTCTACAGTCAGCAGGGGATGCTATTGACATGCTAACGCATTGAGTTTGCATAGTTGCACCCGTCTGCTCAACGCATTTTAAGCGCTGTCAATGACGTGCAACGACACCAATGTACAGTAATTGACGAGTTTCGCTAAATAACTGCTTCTTCTATTTTCCTTCTAGCAGGAATTGTTTGCAACCATGCATTGTTTTGTAGACCCAGAAGTGTGAACCGTTACAAGCTATTCGAGCGCATCAGTGCGAGGCTCGCGCGAGTATCTATCTTCGAGGCCCAAAAATGCACCGGCGCTAAAAGCCTGCGCATTGCATTGCTTTGATGCTCACTTTCTCAAACCGAGCTTTCGCTCTTCCTTTATCATGAAAGACCGCCCCATTGCAATTTCTTTTTTCATTGCGTAACGTTTTGCTTGGCTTAGTGCAAAGTTTGTATCAATCTCATGTTGCACACCAACAATCCTTTCTTTGCACTCTGCTATCAGTCTCAGCGAGGCTAGTCGCTCGGGAGAGTTCAATGATTGGTTGGAAGCTCCTTGGTTTGTCGTGTCAGCATTTGAACAAACTGCAATTTCTCTGTTCTCGGCTGCATCTTTCCCAAGTGAATTGGAATGTGAAACTGATTGTTTCTCGGATAGAAGCTCGCCGTGTAAAGCCACCAATCGCTTCCTCGATTCTAGTACTTCTTCCTTTGTCATCCTGTTTTTGAGGTATGCTAGTTGATCTGCACATCCTCTCTCCAAAACTGCATGCCGCACTGCTTGCTGGGGATTCATTTGTAGGTTTAACTTGCTTAGTTTACCTTCGAGAAACAATCCCAATTCCAAGGGTATCTTCTTCAACTTATTCTGGGCAATTCGCAGTACTTGAATATTGCGACAACTCAAGGCCAATGACCACACCAAGTCTTCCATGTCTTCGATCTGATTCTCCGACAACTCCAAACAAACCAAAGATACTGGTAGCCATGTTGTACAACGTTTCAGGGACTTGATGCTATTGGACATTAGATTGAGAGTCTTCAGACACTTCAATTGAGCCAATACTTCCATGGGTACCTCTGTAAAGCAATTACCACCTAGGTCAAGCAGCTTAATGGTGCCGGCCCATAAAAGATCCCCTACAAGTGGAGAGAGATCACTAAACTGATTTTTTGACAAGTCAAGATGGACCAACCGTGGACAGGCTGCCAATTGCGGCGGAACCAATGACAGCTTGTTTGTCGAAAGTGATATATTGGAGACATCTCGGATAGTTGAAATGAGATCCCCCGGAATCGACTCAAATCCATGCAATTCAAGTTTGTTTGTGATCTTGCTGGCAATCACAGGATTTGCTTTTAGCGATCGCACAAGTGGATCTAGGGAAAAGGAATGACCGTACCCATTGCCCTCGATTATGGGATACAGAGAGCACAATAGAGTTTCCGTTGGAGATGAAAGCGGAAAGAATCGAGGAAGGTTGCGAATGCAACGCTTCCTCCCGTTTTGGTGCTCGTCGGCGTAGAACTGCAAGTACTTCATCTGGATTGCTCTCAACGTCAGATCTTTTTAAGGTAAAAAGTGGGTTGGAGGCGACTCGGAAAGCTCTAAGGTTCGGAAGGAGTCCCAACTGGTATGGCAAGTTTCTGAGTTTATTGCAGCTAATGTCGAGGAGTTGCAAGTTGGAATACTTTTCAAAAGTGGAGCCATCGATTTCAGATAGTTGATTCCCACTGAGCATCAACTCGATCAAAGCAAGCGGGGCTGCATCGGATACTGAGTGAAGTTGTCCAATATCCTTTATCCTGTTTTCTGTCACGTCCAATACCAGTAGGGAATTTGGAATCAATGGCATGGTTGTTAATCTGTTCATTTTCATATTCAGTTTCTTCAAGCTTTTGTGGCGGCAGAGATCAAATGTATGGGCAATGATATTGTATGAAGCGTCAATAGACTCGAGCTGATTTGTCGATGCGTCAAGGAGCCGAGTTGGAAGCCGTGAAAAGGAGTTGTGATGACACCGAAATACTCGAAGATCTGGACATGAAATGTGGCAGTCATTCAGATGAGTTAGCTGGTTGTGTGAGATGTTGAACACCTCAAGCTGTATTGTTGCTGACTCGTCGGACGAGCTGATATCCTCCAGTCGATTGCTCGACAAGTCCAGCTCGTGCAGAATAGGCGGCAGAAGATTCATGTCGAAAGAAGTCAGATCCATTGTTCCAAGCAAAGAGAAGTCCTCATTGAAATGAGGGTGAACCACTCAAACATATTCAGGCTCCAAACCATCGGAGCCTCATCATCTTCCGTTGAGTTGCAATCAATATCAAATTATCGTCAAGCATGCTGCCGTATTGATATCCGAAGTGTGATTTTTTTCCCCGCGTTGTTTTGGCGCGGTCCCGCGTGGTTTTGGCGCTGTCCCGCGTGGTTTTGACGCAGTCCCGCGTGGTTTTAACGCGGTCCCGCGAGGTTTTGGCATGGTTTTAACCGTTTCCTGGTCAGACATCAATACATTCGTAGAGCCAGTACAAAATGTACGTGAAGTCGACTACACCGACTTCTCCAAAATAGTACCTAAAACCTCTAAATACTACTCGCCAAATTTGGCCACCAAAGAACTAAACACATAGTTGGAAGTCATTTATATCAAAGAAGAGGTCTGATAAGAGTATATGTGGGGAAATTGTTGTTGGAAGTCACTTTCCTATAAGCCAGTTTGCCAGCTAATATTGGTATACGTGTACGTATACGAGTAGTATTTTTTAAAATACACATATTATCATTAGATTAGTCACAACTGTACACCAACGACACAATTTTTATTAGGGTGGTAAGAAGGTATAGGAGGGTAGAGAGGCTTTCAGTCTAGTATCTTCTGCTGCCTTGTCCTCGTCGTCGGTTCTCTTCAAACTTTTCCATCAAGGAGTCTTCCAGCGAATCAATCTTATACTGCTTTGTCTTGACAACTTCTGAAAGCAACTGAATCTCATCCTTGAGGGCGGTAACTTTCTTTTCCTCACGTTCCAATTTTACAGCAGCCTCGTGGAGTTCGCGTTTGCAATTGAGGCTCTTGGTTTCCTCTCTCTTGATGAGTTGGAAAAGTTGGGGTAGTTGCTCTTGAATCTTGGCTGCTTTCTCTTGCTCTTCGTAGTTGAGGAACTTTATCTCCTTAATCTGCTTCTTTTGATCTTCAATCGTATCGTCTTGTCCCTGAACCTTTTCGAGGAGAGCCATCAATTTGTTTTCCTTTGCTTGCAAGCTGCTTTGCAGTGTCGACAACTCTGTTTCGAGCGTTTCTGATCTTTTCTTCTCGTTGTCTAGGCGTCGTTCAGTTGCTTGGATTTCGCCCTTATAAATCACCAACTCGTCCTCATGACGATGAACCTTCATTTCTTGAGCAGTCAACTCTTGCTTCTTCTCATTGAGATCGTACGATAAATTGGAGAGTTCCTTCTGCAACACCGATCTCTTCTCCCGCTCAGCTTCACATTCCTTTTCAAGGTTGCTCAAAGCAGTGGATTGCTGTAGCAACTGGGAAGCATCCATATCAAGTTTCATTTCCAAATCCTCGATGGTAGTGTTGGCTGCAGCAAGTGTGCTTTCCAATGAAGACACATCTTGGATGAGTTTGTCCGCAACCTTCTGGTGCTCCGCATGCATGATTTCCAGGTTCTCGATCTTCAAGTCCTTACTAGCAAGAACCTGCTGAAAGCTTTTGGACTCGAGTTCCAAGGACTTGATGTAGGTGTGATTCTCGTCCAAGGCGTCGTGAAGCTTTGCCTTGGCAGCTTCAAGCTTCTGGCAACGAGCGCTTTCGTCATCGATCATTCGTTGCATGTATTGAATTTCAGTCGATTGGTTTGTAATGATCGCCTTTTGTTCATCAATTTCCAATTGGAGACCCTCGACCTCTCGTTGGGCTCGGGAAAGAGCGTCGTTGGTGCTGGTTTGCTCGGCACGAAGATTCGTCACCCGGGATTGTTCCTCGTTATACAGTTTCTCCATTTGATTGATCTGGCTTTCTTGTCGAGCAAGTTCTTGCTGTTGAGTTTCTAATCTCTTGTTGAAAGATCGCGCTTGGTTGGCCTTCTCATCCAATAGCTTACGGTTGTAATCCCGCTCGTGCTCAACCTCGTGTTTCATTTCTTGGATCGTAGACTTTGCAGACTTCAGAGCACCTCGCGCGTTGGTGGTCTCTTGTCTTTCTTCATGCAAGCAGTTTTCGGCTTGCTTGAGAGAAAGTTCCGCCCCCTCCAACTTGCGCTCGGTCTGTTGGTAAGCACGTCGCATTTTCTCGAGAGCCTTGTGAGCTTCCGTGACTCCTTCCTTCTCCTTTGTCAATTGTTTTTCGATCTTATGATGCTTTTTCTCCAACTTCTCAATCTCACGCCTTTGTTGCTCTGCCATTCCTTGGGCAGCAGCCAATGCTTCCTCAGCCGTTTGTCTTTTACTTTCAGCTCTCTCGACGTCATGTTTGCGTTGTTGTTCGATATCCATGGCCCTTACTTTCTCCGACTCTGCCAACTTTTTCAATTTTCGCGCTTCTGCCTCCATTTCTGTCATCTTAGCTCGTTCTTTTTCCCAGATCTTTTGTTTCTTGATCATTCGCAATCGATAGTGATTGTTTTGAGATTCAAGGTCTCGCACTTGCTTGTGTTTCTGGGAAAGAGCGACCGAGGCAACTGACATGGAGGCCACTGATGCGTTATCATCCCAGTCAAGATTCTGGAATTCCGAATTCATCGCTACAATCATTTTGGTCTTCTCGGCCTTCTCCATCTCGAGCTGCTTATCCAGTTTTGAAACCTCTTCATTTTGTATCTCAAGTTGTTTACCCAACTGCTTGTTGGATTTTTCAAGGGCAGCAGCTCGTTCTTGTTGCTCTTGCAGTTGACGCTTCAACTCACGGTGCTTCTCACTTTCCGTCTGCTGCATATCCTTCGTCTTCCCTTGCATGTTCCGGACTTTTTCCTGTAGGAGCTTTGCTTGCATTGTCTTATCTTGCAAAAGCTCAGCTTGGGTATCGAGCTTTGTTTGAAGGATATGGTTCTGTGTTTTGTAATGCCCCTGGGAGTCAATCTTTGTTTGAAGTAATTTGACTTGCGACCCAAGGTCTGTTCTCAGTATCTCGACAGCTCTATCGTGTTCTTCTTTTGAGATTGTCGTCATGCTGGAGGTGGTAGTAGCCGTCGCAATTGTATGATCGTCATCGTCGTGGTGTTTGTGGTGCATGTATCGGCTTCTGGCATTCAAAGACGAGTTGTTGTCCAACGAGAGGATGTGTTTCTGGTTGTTTCCATCTTCTTTCAATGTTGTGACCAACATGCGCAACAAGTATTCTGCACTATGTCCAGTCGCCTTTGCAGCTTGAGTTGCAACTCCACCAAGCATCATCAGTAGAGAGGACATGAGGATGAAGTTGTTGGCATTCTCATCTTTCCGGCGTGGGAGTGGCGAACTGGTATCATCATCTAGTTCCGGAAAGTCAAATGTAACATGCTCCATGTTCTTCCTCGCTCTGGGTGTATCGGCATCGGTATAATTCGGTATGTAGGTAGTTGAAATGTCCATGTTGGGAGTGGGGGGCTCGGCGGGTATGGAAGTGGCGGTGTTCTACAACGACATTGGGTAGATTTTGTGAGAAGCCTTTGATGTCGAGATCGGCGATCTTCGAAATCGCGGAAATCGCATCTTGGACAATTGGCGAATATTGAAAACTTCGGTAGGTAGGTATTCGAATCTTAAATTATTTTGTGGAAATGTCACAACGACACGAGCGAGGCACACAAGCTCTATCTGTCCATCGTACGTGTACAGTACATGTACGAACAGGAGTGAGTGAGTCATGAGTCATGAGTCATGAGGCTCGTCAAGTCAGTTACATACGAAGTTGTCTCCGTCGGTACATCTACGAGTACCAGGTACGGTATGGTACGTGTCCGTGTACTCGTATTATGATGCAAGAAGGGGGCATTTTCAATTTTCATCTGGCCACAGAAAGCACAAGGAGATGAAGATCAAAGCAAGCGCCGTCTTTTTCATCGCATCCCTTGCTCCATCTCCCAATAGCACGCGAGCGTTTTCCTCTCGTGCTTCTCGTCGCGTCGCTGCAACCAGTCTTTCAAACCGTCTGCTCATGTCGTCTACTGTCTCCGCCAATCCTCTTTTGGAGCAAGAAGGATTGCCGAAGTTTGAAAGTATCGAACCCAAGCATCTAACTCCTGCAGTGGAGGAACTGCTTCAAAAGCTTGAACAAGATTTTGCCAGTTTGGAAACTACTTTCACCAAAGATGGTTCTGACAACGAGTTGAATCTTGACTACGATCAAGTCTTGCCGGCTGTTGAACGTATTCAAGCTCCATTGGGTTACATATGGGGAGTCGCAGCTCACCTGAATGGCGTCAAGAACGGCGACGAACTTCGTGAGGCTTACGAGCAAAACCAGCCTAAAGTCGTGCAAGCAATGACTCAATTCTCGTAATCCAAAGCTTTGTACGATGCTTTGGAAGCGATTGAAAAAAAGACTGCTGTCGCTTCCGATCCGCCGTTTGTGTTGCAACAAAAGAAGAGAGCCATAGACAATTCCTTGCGTGGCATGAGACTTGGAGGAGTTGGGTTGGAAGGTGCCGAAAAGGAACGCTTCAATGAAATCAAGCTTCGACTAGCAGCGTTGTCCACCAACTTCTCCAACAATGTGCTAGATGCAACAAAAGCATTCAGCTTGTCTGTTCAAACCGAGGACGCTTACAAGTTGGAGGGCGTTCCTGACTCTGCCAAGGCACAATGGGCCAATTCACACCTGCAATTCTTGAAATCGCAACAAAAAAAAGGCGAAGAAGTGGCAGAGTTGCCCGAGATGAATCCTCAAAAAGGACCGTGGCGCATCACTCTGGATATGCCCAGCTACCTTCCTGCTCTTCAGCACATTCCCGATAGAGAGTTGCGAAAAGAGGTCTACATGGCCAACTTGCAAAGAGCTTCCTAAAAGAGTGACAAAGATGAGAAGAATAACATTCCTCTCATCTATGAGATCCTCGAGCTGAAGCAGGAAATGGCCAAAATGTTGGGTTTTGAAAACTATGCCCAGCTCAGCTTGGCATCCAAAATGGCACCAAGTGTGGATTCCGTAACGGAATTGACCAATCTCATGGCTGCCAAAGCGGTTTCAGCTGCCAAAAAGGATTTAGAGGAAATCACTGCATTAGCGCGTGAAAAAGGCGGAGACGAGTTGAAAACCGTGGAAGAGCTGATGCCATGGGATACTACATTTTGGAGTGAGCGCCTCAAGGAAAGCAAATTCGATATGAAGGATGAAGAGTTGCGGCCATATTTTGCATAACCGGCCGTTTTGGATGGGATGTTTGGGTTGGTAGATCGATTGTTCAACATTGAAGTCAAAGCTGCGGATGGGGATGCAGAAGTTTGGCATCCAGATGTTCAATTCTTCAAGATCTTGGATAAGGACTCGGGGAAGCACCTTGCGAGTTTCTTCTTGGACCCATACTCACGACCGGAAAACAAGCGTGGCGGTGCGTGGATGGCTGATTGCATTGGAAAGTCTGAAGCAACGAATCGTGAAATTCCAGTTGCGTACTTGACCTGCAATGGCTCCCCACCTGTGGGCAAGACACCTTCGCTTATGACATTCAGAGAAGTTGAAACACTGTTTCACGAATTTGGGCGCGGACTTCAGCACATGTTGACTTCTGCAACCGTTGGTGATGTTGCCGGGATCAACGGCGTGGAGGTAAGGCTTTGGAAAAGTTCAATGCTGACTAGTATTTTTCACTACTGATTCCAATATTTTCTTGTTCTCATCGCTGGACTCTCAATAGTGGGATGCAGTTGAACTCCCATCGCAATTCATGGAAAACTGGTGCTATGATCGCCCAACGGTCTATGGATTTGCCAAACACTGGGAAACAGGCGAGCCTCTGCCGGAAAAGATGTTTCAAAAGTTATGCGATCAAAAAATATTTAACGCTGGTATGATGGCTTGTCGCCAACTATACTTTGGCCAGATGGATATGGAACTTCATTCTGAAACTTTCGATTCCAAAGCGGCTCAGAAGGGAGAGGGAAGGACCATTTTTGATGTGCAGAAAGAGATTGCCGCAAAGTACGTTCCACATTCGATGCCACTCGAAGAAGATCGTTTTCTCTGTGCCTTTGTGCACATCTTTGCTGGTGGATACTCGGCTGGATACTATTCCTACAAGTGGGCTGAAGTTATGAGCGCAGATGCCTTTGGAGCCTTTGAGGATGTAGGTTTGGATAATGAAGAAGGAATTCAGAGAGTTGGAAGGAAATTCCGCGATACGGTGTTGTCCTTGGGTGGAGGTGTGCCTCCTATGGAAGCTTTCAAGGAGTTCCGAGGGAGGGAACCAACACCAGATGCGCTTCTTCGTCATAGTGGCTTGGCTTGATTTGAAAACTGCGTTGCGCAGTACAGTAGCTCTCCCAAAATAATCCGAACGTCGCTTGATTGTCACGATATTATTTCATCATATTTATTTTAATATATCTATCTTAATATATCTATCTTGCTGCATGTGCCACGCTGACTCCATTCATCAGACGATTTGCCTTCTTGTCCATTCGGTTCATGTTCTGGGTGGTTCTGTACTTCAATCGCCGTCCTTTGTCATCGTCTACGCGCTGCTTCCTGACAGCCGCCCTGTAGCGATACAGCGACAAAGCACTAAAAGCCTCGGGGCCTCCTTTCATCGGAACCAGAATGCCTTTGCCAGAGCCACCATTCGTTTCAGGGGGCAGAGGACTGTTGATGTTGACCACCCGACCATCGTACATTCGTTCACCAGCAGCTGTTTTTGCAGCAACAACTGCGTCACTTGCAGCTGTAGATCGAATACTCTGTTTGTAATACTTGTGAAGTGCCCGATGACCAACTATACGACCGTCTGGAAAAACAAGCTCACCTAGGGGAGTGATATCTAACCCAAATCTGGCAATTTCCTTCTCGTACCCTCTATAGTCACGTGCAGAATCGTCGTCATCATCGCCATGTTCCGAAACATCCTCCCAGTCTTCATTGTCATCATCGTCATCATCTACCACAGCAGTATTTTTGGGGATATTGGATTCAACGGCGTCCCCTTTCTCGTCGTTATTACTCTCTCCGATAAAGTTTTTATGCTCCCTTGAAAAGTCGTAAAATGGATCAAGCTCTTCCCAAAAGCCTTGCTCGTACCGTAGCTTTGTATGCCGGGTGCTAATCATGTGATTTTGACAGCCTTGCCAGGTTGGAAAGACTCGCCCACAGTAAAGACAGAAGTGGCCAAGCTTTACCTTTTCGTGACAGTAACCTAATAGGCCCTCGAGATCAGTCAAGTGTTCTGAATCTGGAATAAAGAATCCATGGTTCTTGTTCATGTAGGAAACATTGTCCTGCAAGGAATCAAAGATTTTGGAGTCGAAGAGACTCTGGTAGGGATTGATTTCAGGATTTTCTTGGCTGGCAGCGATGCTTTCATTGACAGAAGTCTTGTTTTCTCCAATTTTCTATTTATTCTTCTTCTCAGGATTTTTTAAATGATCCTTCCCGCTCTTTGCCTTCGAATCCTTCTCGCGCTTTAGTGCTAGAGCAGCTTCCCAGCGAGCCACAAAATCATTCTCTGCTAACAGTGGCAGACCTGCTTCTCTTCGTTTCAAGTTATATTAATGCCAGTCCCTCTTATAATACTCTGCCAGTTCGCCTCGCTATGAGAAGACCTTTCCAGGTGCCGTTGTGGAAGTTAAGATAGATGTCATTTCCAAAACTGCCTTTGTGTTGGAGATAGAACTATAAAAAATATATTGTCAGGTATTAATAACCGCAGCAGAATAAATACCAGTATCGTTGTTCGTGTCAAAACTCTACAGTACAGCTTTCTTTCCGACTGGTCTTATATATGGACAATCATCTCAAACGTGTTTCAATGACGGTTGACGTAGTGTACGTACACGTGAAAGAGTTTGCAACTTTGAACTTGAGCTGGGGTATCGCATACTTTACTATTGTACCCTGGTCCCTGGTATCATAGCACAGTACCTGGTACCTGGAATCAGTTCTTCCTATCGTGGCATAATTATTGTACTAATACCAATGGACGACGAAAGCTTTTTTGGAGCTGATCTCTTTGGAGAGGAGGTAAGCCTGGGCTTGGTTGACAAGAAATTATTAATACATGCATGCATGCATCGCTTGCAATTGATCAACTTGATCACTGGAATGGATTTATCTTTCTCAATCGTTTCAATTGCGGCTGTAAATTCACCCCTCAACGAATTCCAATCTAGCCGGATTGGGCCAACGATGATTTCCAATCTCAGGGACAAGATGGCAGCTCCTAGACTGTCGTGCTGATATGTTTCAAACCTTTGCAGCCAGTGACGATAAGTCTGCAATGGACAATGGTTAGCAAGTTGCCAAAACCCTCTTGCAGGATACTGTTCGCACCACGGTTTCGCAGCGGACGGGAAAACGCAATGGTATTGGGATTGTTCTTTTCAACACCAAGAGAAAAATATCGTCCAAAAATGCAATGGAAGACGACTATGACGACGATGATGGAAAACATAGTCAAGGAGTTCATATATTGATGTCATTAGTCGCGCCCGGAATATCACATGTTCTGGATTTGAATCAGTTTTTGGAAAAGGAACGCAATATGCAAGAGGAATTCCAACAAGAATCTCAGGAAAATCAAGGCGGCATTATGGAGCCATTGCAAACTGCATTGGAGGTTTGCCAGGACATGTTCAAGAAGGCCATGTGTGTCAAGGATGGGGCCTCCCACAGTAACTCAGTCGTTGATTCCAAGTCAATCTGGATCTTTACGTCGCACGATAATCCATATCCTGGAGCCTTGCAGCAGATGAAAACTATCGCTGACGAAGCCAAACAACAAAATGTCAAGATTATAGTGTGGCCCATGGCCATCGGTGGTAACAGTGAAATGGAGGACGATGGTGATGGTGATAATCCAAAGAACTACAACAATATATCGTTTGACCACTCACTATTCTACCAAGATATCGTTTCCGATGCACCTTTTGCAGGTCCCATGTCAACAATGGAAGAGTTCGAGGAAGCCTTGGAGGAACTTCGCCAGGATTACAAAAAACCACGGCGAGCCTATTACGGACCGATGCGGTTGCCAGATTGGAGACAACGGATCCTTGGTGAGGAGGACGTGCAAGACAACGAGGGAAAGGACACTGCGATGATGATCGATTGGTTAAAATTTGTACAATTGGCGAAGAAACCAAGCACCGTCCAAATAGATTTGCAAACGAAACTGTACGATACTCAAATTTTGGTTCATTGGGATAGGCTTTTGTTGTGATTTATCTAACCTCATGCTTGTGATCCCATCCTACAGGGAGACAATTAAGGTCACTAACCTGGTTGACGACCATGGTGAGGTGCTCGCAACAGTCAAGCGAGGCAACACTTTTGATCAAACAACCTCAGAAACTGTGCAACCTGGATTACATCGCATTCGAACTTTTGCCGACTTTGCTGGAGAATTGGTTCCTATGTCTCAGTCGGAAATGAAATAACTGAAGCATGTAGCCAGTGGAAAATTGGATAGCTGTAACCTTGTTCTCCTTGGCTTTCGCCCATCACACACGATTCCATTTTACCACGCCATGGATTCTGCTTATCTTCTTTATCCTCTCAAGTTGATGGCCAGGATCGAGAGTCGCAGCAAGATAATCGAAATGCATTCATTAATCTACGTGCTGCTATGATCCGCAAGAATGTCCTTGCCATCGGAGAAGTGCTCTTTCGCGTGGGTTGGACGTCCAAACTCGTAGTCATTTATCCATTGGAAGAGGTGCTTGATAAAGAGGAAGGCACTCAACGGCTCCCACCTGGACTTATGGTAGTTCCATTGCCCTTCGAAAACGATATTAGGGAGCCAGAGTTGGACGAAGCTATGAAGGAGCTCCGCCTTCAATCGACAATTGCAGAAGGTTTGGCGGGAAATGGTGCCAAGTTGGAAGACGGGGGTGCAGCTCCTGGTCTCACTTCCTCTCTTTCCACTAGCGCGAAAATGATGGAAAATACTCCCACTGGCTATGTTGCCTCAGAAGAACTGGTTCAAGCAGCAATGGATGTGATTGAGAAACGAACTGTCGGCGATGATATACAACTTGGTGAAGATCTGGAGAACGCTGCATTGCAGAAATTTTTCGATTACATTGAGGCTATAGCGATGGAAGATACTTTCTTTGAAGCAAGGACTGACTTTGATACCGAAGTACCTGATGAGGACGTATTGAGAGCAGCTGGAAAGCAAATTGAACGGTTTTAGGTATTATTGCCAGATGATGCTGAAAAGCCCAAGGTAGCAGGACGAAAGCGGAAAATAGTTGAGGATGATTCTGGTGTCAATTGGGTTGAACTATATCAAGAAGGCGCGCTAGAGTCATGCAAGTTACCCGAGCTGAAGAAATACCTGCGCTCAATTGGGGAACAGTTGTCGGGAAAGAAGAGCGATCTTGTGTTGCGGGGGCAACAGCACATCCAAAAGAGCCAGAAGACAAGCAAGGTCAAGGTGGAAATCTAGAAGGCATGACGCGCGGTCCATTGGTTTTTTCCCGTTGCCATACCGTGTGTATCGTCGTGCTGGCTATCGCCACTGCTAGACTAGCATTACACTATTGAGGGGATTCAATATGAAGATTTTTTTTTTTTCAACTCCAAAAATTCTGGCGCATACTGCTCTTTCTTTTTTATTATATCTTATCCAAGGCTGATGAGTGGCTCTTTCCTACTGTTTTGCTGACTCAAGTATCTCTTGCGGGTGTAGTATAGCATAGTAACCAACAGAATGGAACAAACAATGATGAGTAATAAATCTTCGCCAGTCAAGTTGGAGTCCTCAAGCAAGGATGTTGTTCTTGTGTTGTACGTATATAGATTGTCTTTCTTGGACTGAGTACTCGTCGTATGCGTCTCTCCATTCTCCACTTGATTCTGAAGTGCAGTACATACTTGATAGTCACTGTCCTGGTCACTTATATCATATTGATATGTTGACCATCCAGAAGAACTGAAATATGTATATTTGCCATCCTGCGTGTTGGCACCCTGTGATGCGTAGTTGCCATCGTCGTCAGTGGCTGTATTTGCACATGTTCCTCCAATGTTGAGGACATTTCCTTCAAAGAGGTACTGGCAGCCATCGTTCGCCTGCGAATAACCATACTTATCATATTCGTAGCTGTTGTAGTTTTTCCCGTAGTCGTACGCTTCGTCGTCGTAGGGGACCGTGTACTCTGTCTCGCCACAGCCAATCTGTTTTGTGAAAATAAACTGGACAAGGTTCTTCGTTTTGGTGTAGTAAAAGTATGGTAGTGTGCCTTCAACCAAGATGCTCATGAAAGATTTGGATGGGTTCCAAACAGAACATTCCTCATCCATGAAGATGCCAACTTCAATTCCAGTGCCATCGGCATTGCACATGAGCCCCGCATACAACTCGTTGTATATTTGGCTATATGTTTGCTGCTGCTGTTGCTTTTGGTTGTTGCTGTTGCCATTCTGGCCTTTCATGTTGTAGTAGTTGCCATAGTTAACTTGTTCACATTCAGAAAGTCCTCTCAACCATTCAAGAGCCTGATAGTTGGTGTACTCCCCTTGGTTGTTGTCATAATTGTTGCTGTCTTGGTTGTACGTGCTGCTTTGCTCTGCGCAAACGCTCTGACAAGTTTTGCAATCAACTGATTCCGTCACGTGCCCTTGCTGTAGATTGCGGTTCGCTCCATTCATCCGATAATCTCCATACTGCTGTCTGTAAGACTTCTGATTGGATTGGAAACTGCCATAGCTTTGTCCTCCCCCATTGTTGTAGTGACGATACATATCATACCTATCTTGTGCAGAATAGTTCTCGTTTTGGTAGTTATAATTTTCGGGCTGACGATAGGGATTCTGTTGCTCGGAATTTGAGTTTTGTTGCCCATCACTAGCATAGGAATTCTTTCCAGCGTGCATATAGCCGCAATAGTACTGGGCCTGGGCACATGCCTGGCAAAAGTTGTAGTTATCTGAGAGAATGGTCTCAGCCATACTGGAGACAAATGTAGGAATGTCAATGGCAAACTGCTTCTTTGCGTACTTGTTGTGGTTTGTAGCACTGAAAATCACAAAATCTGTTGATGCCTCGAATATGTTTCCCTTTTCCATTCCCGCCATTACTTCATCGTTCAATATCGTCAGTGAAGTACATTCTTCAAATTCAATCAGCAACGAAGAATCCACTTCAATTCCATTTAAATCTTGTCTGGCATATTGATGACTGCCTTGATTCGATCCGTTGTAGTATTGTTGATTCCGAAGCACTCTAGCCTTTTGCAAAAGACTGCCTTTGTCCATTTTGTTCAAACTTTCTTGAATTGTACTGCGATCTACTTTTGATGCATCAGCTGTGCTGGCAATTGCTAGAAGTGCAAGAGCCTTCATCAAAGTTGGTTTTCTGATTTCTGATTTCTGATTTCTGAAGCAACTGAAGTTTGTTGGAGTGAGCTGAGCAGGTGCCTGATGGATAATGGATCGCAAAAAGATATTTATTTAACAGTGTTGAAAAAAATAGTAATCGCTGAAAGTCATAGTTCCTCGGTTTTCAGCACGTTATTTCTCGAAATTTTGATAAATATGACGTGAATTAATAATCTGTTTTATGATAATGATAATAATAACGCGGTAAACTTACAGTACTTTAAAAACACGTACAAAATCTCTGTAGAACCGAGGGACAATACGTGTACGACCCACGGTCCCGAGGAATTAATATCCGTCTTGACTGCCTGTACCACTCTTGCCTGTACACTATCCTTGTTCATACGATCACTCATGATACGATACACTATTCTTCGCTTTTGCTCAAAGGCTCAGCCAAAAATTCTTTATTTCTATTTCTTTTAAAAAATGAGATGATACAATGCAGAGAAGTCGATGACTTTTCTTCATCCCTGTCATATTCCTTTATCAGATCCCATCATATCTCCCATTGAACTATTTATTAGTCCCATAAAGCTGCTACCTGCATCTGTACTTTCGTCATCTGCTAGCATCCTTGAGGATTTTAGATTTGGCTCTGAAAACATTTTTTCAGCCTCTTCTAGCTCACTCATGAAGCTGCTCCACTTCTCTGTATTTTGCTCTTTCGGATCTGGTTCGTTTCCAATGCAAAGGCTCGACACAACTTGCCGAGGGGCTCCGAACTTAGCACCATCGCCGTTGATAGAATTGTCTCGACGCACAGCTACTGCGCTGTAGAGATTTTTGTCCATAGTAGCTTCTGACATGTAATGATCACCGGGTCCTGCATTCATACGTTCATCATCCGGGATCGGGTTGTCCTCGTTTCCCGAGTCATGTTTCGGATTGTACGCGGGTTGCTTTGTCGATTGCGACAAAATGAATTGCTGTCGGCTATTCTTCGTGCCTTCCTCGTCACAAGGCAGGGCATCTCGGTCCAAAATGGTGGAAAATACATCTGGAATGACAGGCACATTCCTCGGCGAAGTGGACATCAGATTAGCGACCGAATTTGCAGGCGACCCAGCGTTGGGTGGCTGCCCCGTATAGACGGATGACTCCGAAACTGTGGACGTTGGTGAAACGGGGGGCTGACTTTGGAGCTTTAAGTCGTCAATCAAATTATCTGCATACATGTTCGCATAGGAAACACTTTCAGCTGTTGTAGCCTCGTCATATTTCTGTGCTTCCATATCTAGCATTGAGATTGTTTCGGTTTCAACTTGCTTTGGAATTGGTCCAGTGGGAGGCGGTGGAATCGGCAAATCCGATTCCTCGGACATATGAGAAGCATCACTTGGCATGCCACCTTTGTTGGTCAGGGTGCCATCGTCTGTCTCGCTAGGCGCGAGCAATGAAAATGTGTCGGTTAGATCACGCGTCGAATCGTTGGAGCTTGGCAAGTGCTGGCTATTTGCTGTTCCCACTTCACTGTCGCTATCAAACGCAAATATGTCGGGCGTCCTTTTTTTCGGAGGCGCGACAGGAGTCGTCTTGTCCGGAGTCCCATAGTCCAGCTCTCGATTGGAAGATTGCGAGTACTTCGGCTTTTGGGAGCCAAAATCGCCGCTGGCACTCTTGTGGTCAGAATTCTTCTTCCGATTGCGACGTTTTTTGCAAAGAATAAAACAGGCAATCGTTGCCAACACAACAACAAAGAACCCTCCAACAGCAGACGCGATCATAAAAACAGTGGAATCAGAATCGTCAATTCCAGTCATACTTCCAGCCAAATTAGTGACATTATCTTCGCTGGTGTCCAATCTATCATTCCCTTGACCGTTTTGACTCGTGCCATCTGTTGGTGACTCTTGCGCTGTTGTGGTGGGGGGGGCAGTAGATGAAGGACTTCGGGTGGGTGGCAATGTTGTAGGTACCATGGTGGGTGCGGCTGTATCAACTGTGGCAATCTGCAACGCAACAATATTCCCAGAAATATCTCCATAGTATAGCAATGCTCCATTTGGCGAAATTCCAAAGTCTGCTTCGACTTCCTCGTTGCATAATGGGCTCTCGGAGTCGCAGCCAAGTTGCCAGATTTCGTTGCCACCCCAAAGAGAGTGTTGACGAACATTTCCATTTTGGCTTTCAATTACATACACAGCATCTTCAACTATGACGGGCTGAGCCAGAATGGCGCTTGCACCATTCATATTGGCCCATTGTTGTTTGCCGCCTTTCGATTGAAGACCGTATAATTCCCCATTCGTCCCTGCCAACACCAACATGGACTCATCGTCCGAAATGACAGGAGTAGTCAACAAGGCTGTATGCAAATACGACATGAAGAATCCGATCAATGGATTATTAGACCCATATGCAAGTGCGATCACAAAAGAGGGACATTACAAAAAATGTGAGTGATAACCGGCAAGTTGGAAACATGGAATGAAGAAGGAAACCTACGTTGTCCAGAGTCACTTGTCTTTGTATCGAGCTGCAAGACCCATTTGGGATTAACATTTTCTCGCTCTCCTGTCAAGACTTTGGAGATGTCCTTTTGCTGCCATCCTCCAATATTGGCTCCCGAGGCTCCCAGCCATACCGATGAGTCGACCACCAGTGGTCTGGCAGAAGCACTAAAAGGCCAGGAACTGACGTGCTGCATTGTGTAGGATTCGTTTCCTCTTCCGCCGAATTGGTTGTAGTCTTCGGAGAATACCAAGAAGTAAAGATTTCCTTTAGATCCGTATCCTTGGTCCCACCATTCGGCGACTGCCACAACATCTTGTCCACTTTCAGGATCTAATGATAGGGGACCCAAAGGAGCATTGCCTTGGGTGGGAGCGAGGGTAGCTGTCAATACTGGAACATCCATATCATTATTGTTCTCGCTGTTAAAGAGCAACACGGAGAGGTATCCAGTTGTGGAATCAACATTATGTGAAATGTAAATAGCTTTGTTGGAAACCGCTGGAGTTCCCATGATTTGACCATCCACTATTACTTGCCACTTGAGGTTTCCGTCGAAAGTAACTGCAAATACCGTACTTTTGTTTCCATTGACCACTGAATAGACGACGTATGCATTAGAGGTCCCATCGAGCACCAACACTGGTTTGGAAGAACATTCGGAAATGCTGCCAGTTGCCATGGGCGGTCGAAAGATTGTGTTCTCCAGAGGAGGGAGACTACCCCGATTGACAATATGTAGATTTCCATTGGAAGTCGTGGCAAAAATACGAACACCATCTTGCGAGGCAACGACACCATTTCCTTTTCTCAATGAGTGGGATTGGTTTGTATCATCCAGGTTAATTGACCATAGAAATCTAGGCTGAGGTAACAAAAGCTGAGCGTGACAATGAGTGCATAGCCACAACGACCACAACGTGAGTAGAAGCACAACTTTCGATGGTCTGGAATCCATCTTCATCGCGCCTTCGTGTGATTGGAACTGTAGAATGAACACCACTTCTTAATTTTCCAACTGTGGTACTGTTTCAATGATTGGAAATAGTATCCAACGGATGCCCAACAAAAATGTCGGACATGCCAGACACGCTCTTGTATCGAATTTCGTGACAGGAGGGCGCCCATCGCGCGATAAAGTGCAGTCGCAAAAGCACAACCACTAAATAAGACCATGATTGTACTGTACTGTACCAGGGTACCTGGTACAGCACATGAACAGCAAGAATAGTTTACAGTGGTAACGATGAACATTTCACTTGCTGATGCGAAGAAAAAGGCGAAGAAGGGATCGATTGGATATGGACTAAACAAGAGAGGTGCATCAGGGGAAAATATCAGCGACGCTTTCGATGGTAGTAGCAGTAGTGATGAAGAGGTGGGCGACCAACAATCCTCGAATCGGGGAAGAGTCAACCAACAAATTGCAAAAGAACAGGAGGCTCTACGAAAGAGGGCGCAATCAGCTGCTTCTGTGGTCGATGCCAGCGTTTATGACTATGACGGTGCTTATGACTCTTTCAAACCAGCTTTAAAAGAAGAAACTTCCAAGGGAAACGACGAGAGGAAGAGTAGATACATAGGTGATCTGTTAAAGGCAGCGAAGAAACGCGAAAGAGAACGTGATGTGGTTTATGAGCGTAAAGTTGCCATGGAACAAGCGGAAGAGGATTTGCAAGCAGACTATCAGGGGAAAGAAAAATTTGTGACCAGAGCCTACAAACGAAAACTAGAGGAACGGAAGCAGTGGGAGCTTGAAGAAAAACAGAAAGACGACGAAGAGGAACAGAACGATGTGACGAAAAAGGTTGCAGGTGCCGCGTTTGCTAGTTTCTATGGTAATTTCAATCGGAATGTTTCAATTGGTGGTGGTGGTGGTGGTGCAGATTCCGAAGAGGAAAAAGAAGACAATACCTTGCACGATGATGTGAATTCGCAAACGTTGGAGCAGTTGGAAGAAAGAAAATTGGGCTTCATGGACGGTTTCGAGCGCGATGATAAAGCAGCAAAACCAACCAACCAGATTGGCGTGGGTCAAGAAGTCGCAAGGGGGCATAAAGAACCACAAAAGGCTTCTGCATTTTCACAGAGAGAAAAGCGAGAAAAGAAGGTCGCAGAAGCGAAACGACGGTATCTGGAACGAAGAGCTGCGGCAGTTGTACAGCAATAATACCGGTTTGCAGTACTGCCACCTACGACTTCTAATCAATGCGATCTCGGCTGTCTCGAGTCTTGTTTCCAATCCGTCCTATCCTAGTATGTTCGATGAATTTCCATCCGATGTTCACTGCAACTACGGTACTGCTCTTGTTGCCACGCCGATGCAAGACAAGGTTACCAATGAGGACTTTAGCATCAGCCACAAACAAAAACTTCAAGCTGTTACTCCTTCACATTACTGCGTATCATACTGATGAAAATAAGGCCAAACTTGATGCTGTTTCCAGGTTTGAAATTCAAATAGTCACGCAGCTAGTGTCATTGGCTATATCGAAGTATGTAACTCGTACAATGATGGTGGATTCCGCCTATGATGATCTAGGTCCAAAAAAGTGTGCTACCGGTACGGAATGCAATCTAGAAATATTGATCAACCATTTAAGTCAATGTACTCCAAGATGACTGTTGTGTGATGGCCTTCAACGCATTATAAACGTACTTCACTTACCCAATACAACATACCACCACCAAGTGATCAATTGATATGGGTCCCCTCAAGGGCAGCAATGGGGATAATTCCTAGTCAGAACTGTCGTCTTCCTCCACTACACCATTTCCGTTCTGTTGTTCGTAGCTTGCTCTTGCAAAGGCAACCCATTCCAGACCTTCTTTCGTCGATCGTTTTGGACCTTCTGGGAGGAATACGAGATAGTCGAAAAAGTCAGGATTCTCACTTCTGATGCCTCGAATGATTTCCGATCCAGATACCATGTACCTTGCATATTGGCATCTCGCAAGATAATCGGCCTCAACAAACTCAGATGTACATATTTTGTCATGCCATTTGTGAATTAAACCCGGTTCTCTCTCCCGAATCAGGTTAAAACCTCTCTCTTCGACAAGGTTCCGCAGTTCAACGTCCTCGCCTCCCCATTTTGACGAAACTCGTTTTTGTATTCTAAGCTCTCGCACAGCAGTGCCTAAAATAGCATAAATACCGAATCCAGTTTCTCTCCACATGCCTCGATGGTGGTCGTATGATCCAAGCTTGCCGAAAACTGTTTCTGCTGCTCTCACTGCAGTGGGGTCGTATTCAGAAAACAAGATGGGATAATATATAACTTTGTTGGAAGTCAAATAAGAAACCATGTTCTTGAAGAAATCTACATCGATCTCCAGGTCCACATCAATCATTGTGAAATAGCAGTTGGATGAAATGCATGCCCGTTCGGTCAGAGCATTGCAAGATCTGGCTCTAGAGAACTCTGACGCGGTGACATTGACGGGCACTGTGTGGAAATGTACACCTGCCTGATCCTCTAATAGTGCGAGGAAATGAATGTTTTCCATGACATCATCATCGGTGCATTTTGTGACCATCACTTCGACAGAATACTCCGACGACATATCTTTCAAAGAAAGGCCAAGCCTTTGCGCAAAACTGAATAGTGCGTTTGGTTTTCCACAAAACGGAATCGCGATTTCAATATTATACTGACTCTTGCTTCGTCGCAATGGCGATACAACTCGGGAACTGTGCTTTGAAGAATCAGCACTAGCAGTCCTCGGCCAACCAGAAACACCAATGAAAAATTGAAGTACAAGACTGAACCAAAACCCAACCAAACAGAATACGATGTGAACCAGACTGACTTGATACCGGAGGCTCTTTGCTGAGACATTTTTCTTGGTACGCGGCTTCATCACCCCAAGTCTTGGAACTAACGGCACAAAGTGGGCGGGATGATACTATTTGTATCGTACCACTGTTGCGATATACAGTAGTGCCCATGCACATGGAGATCGTCAGAATCTAAAGAGGTACAGACGTAGTTTTACGAGGCTAAACGAAAGGAAGCGAGACGCACCTGCCGCGCAACCAGATTTTTATTTTATACCAAACGCCGGCTCAAACTTCAACATATCTATTAACGCACTATATCGTCAAGCATCATCTTCATGTAAAGATATTGCTTCCTGTTCATATAAATGACAAGGCAAAACCAAAATGAGTTGGATGATCCCACGTCGTCTCTTGAAAGTGTCCAGCCACCTGTGAACGTTGACATTCCAACTGCCCCAGTATTGACAGACGTTGCACCTTCGCGGCAGGATGAAGGGGATAAGGCCAAATCGAAAGAAGGACGTATCCCTAATTCCAAACCAGGAGCTTTTGAAGTTGAAAATGATTCAGGACGGAAGAAAGTGAATTTGGCACCAGCGGTGGATCCTCCGCATCCAACATCTAGAGATGTTTCAGCAACAAGAAACTCAACAACGGATTCTAGGCTGGTTCAATTGGCACCTGCAGTACATGACGAGTCCCCTCGAACCAGTTCAAAAGAAAGTAAAATTCGCAATACTCCTGCAACAAGCCCTGGGGCTTTTGAAGTCAGGAAAGAGTCCGAAGGAAAATCTCCAGCCAGGACAAAGGGACTTCGCCAAGCTCCTGCAATAGGAGCAGAAATGAAGAATGGTTCTGAAGCAAAATCTCGAGCCAGTGAAAAGGGAACCAAAATTCGCATTGCACCTGCAACAGACCCTGGAGCTTTTGACGTAAAGAGTGATTCCGGAGCAATATCTGAGTCTAAAACGAAGAAGCTTGCTCTTGCTTCGGGAAAAGCAGATCTAGCAATGGAAGGACGACCTGGAGCATATTCAGAAACGAGAGACTCTGTTAATGGTAAGATGATTCGATTGGCACCAGCTGCAGAAAGCGCGGCTTCCAGCACAAGTAAAGGAAAACGAGCAATGGCCAGCGTTCCTGGCGTAACAGCTCCAGGAGTCTATGAACAACAATGTGACTCTGAAGTGAAAAATGATGGCGCTGAGAAATCAAACAAGCTGAACATGGCGCCGGCAGTTCCACCATCTCCTTCTAGGGATCGAAGGCCTACCACAACAAGAGATTCTTCCGGGCTTCGACTAGCACCTGCTTTCGATATTGGATTTTCCCAACCAGCTACTCCAAGCGGATCAATTGAAACCGATCCTGCAGCAGATTCTACCCAAAATCGATCTGTTACTCGATCAGTTGATACTTCGGTGAATCCGTCGAGAAATCCATCACTCGATCCATCAAGCAGTACTGGCCCCCAGCAAGAAGATGACAACGCAGTGAACTTGCTGGAAGCTGAAGTGGCCCCAGATGTCCAGCAACTGGTGGCCGAGGCCGTGAGGGAAGCCATTACGAGAAATCAGTCTTCGCGGCAAAACACGGTAGGGGAATCATCCATTGTTCGTGCAGAAGAACTTTCTGGTGAAGAAGAACAAGCCGAGGAAGTCGTTGATGAAGAAGAGCAAAATAGCAAAGCTTTCGAGAAAGAAGACGACGATGACAAGGAACAGAAGGTTTGTGGTATGCCACGACGCTTTGTGCTGGTGGCTCTTGGTGCATGTATCACTGCAATCATCATTGCAGTAGTCAGTACCACAGGCAGTGGTGGAACTTCTAACAAAGCAGCACCTACCATGGCACCAAGCCTTTCATCTGAAATCCCATCATTTGCTCCATCACCCATGCCATCATTACTTCCATCGTCATCTCCAACTTCGGCGCAATTGTTGAGCTATGGTGACTTCCTTCTACCAGACAGCAATATCTACACCGTGGATCAGGATTCTGCCGAGTTTCGGGCCCTAGAATGGATTGCCCTGGAAGATGGCTTGGGATTGGAGCTGGACTCCAATGAATTACGAGAGCGATATGCGCTTGCTACTTTCTATCTATCGAGTAATGGCGACGACTGGGACGGAAACAGGAATTGGATGACGGATGTCACCCACTGCCAATGGGAAAGTATTGGCTGTACAAATGGCAGTGTCACTATTTTTCAAATGCTGCAGAACAACATGGTCGGGACTCTGCCGACACAAATTGGCTACCTTACAAGCCTCGGAAGACTAGTTATCACCCAGAATAAAGGCTTGCGTGGTACTATCCCTTCCGAGATCGCTTTATTGACTAGCATGACCACCCTTGCGCTCACCCAAAATGATCTAAGAGGTAAAGTGCCCAGGACTTTTGTTTGTAACCCAATATTCAATATGCCATCCATTGGAACTGACATGTGTCACTTGCTCATTCTAATTTCCACAGGTACAGTGCCGAGGGAGATTGGACAACTTTCGAGAATCTGGCTATTGTCATTGAGCGAAAACGAATTGACAGGTAAGGCCTTACCATTGTTTACTGGTGTACAAACAAAAAGCCTGTTCTCATCTATAGTGCCCATGCAATTCAATTAATTCCATTCCATTCCATTCTGCAGGTGCCATACCAACAGAATTGGCTCTCGTGACGGGCCTTCGCGTCTTGAACCTAGGGGTCAATCCTTTTGGGTTTCCTTTTTTGTCTCCTTTTCCTGTCGAGCTCACCCAGCTTTCTGATCTGACCATCTTGGGCCTTGCCTTCTGCTTTCTTCAAGGTACGATTCCAACCGAAATCGGAAGAATGACGAGCCTTGCCACGCTATTCATGTATGGGAACAGTCTCGAAGGACCGATACCCAGTGAAATCGGAAATCTCACGAGACTACAGGCCTTTGAAGTGCCAGACAATGTCTTGCGCGGTCAGCTGCCGAGTGAAATTGGTCGTCTCACCAGCATGTCAAGCATGACACTCTCGAATAACTTATTCGGTGGAAGGTAAGTCTTTTGATGATGGAAGAAGATCCATGGTTGGTTGATTCATTCGATTGATGTTTCGATTCCTCGCTCACATATCAATTTCACTCGTCCATATTTGTATTATTGCAGCATCCCTAGTGAAATTGGAAGACTCACTGGGTTGAAACTGCTGAATATGCAATCATCAACATTGACAGGTTCCATCCCCTCGGAAATGGGAAACCTTGTCGCATTGACCCAACTATCTCTTTCCGATAATGAACTTGAAGGAACCGTGCCTTTTGAATTGAATCAATTGACGAATATTCATACTGCTGACTTTGACAGCAATGCTTTTTCTGGAGGTTTGGAGACGACCTTTTGCAATGTCACCATGGAATATTTTGCGGCAGATTGTGTGGAACCAACACCCGAGGTAGTATGCCAATGCTGTACACATTGTTGCGACTCAGATACCGGAGATTGTGTGCCAGAAGGAGAAGAGTAGGAATTTGTAGTAACATGTTGTTGGTTTGCACCATATATGCAAATGTCGTATTCCTGCCATCATGGTGTTGGATCTTACAGTATTTTTCATTTTTCTTCATTCTCGCGCGCTTTATTCAGTTTTCGTCTGTCTGCAATCCACAAACGAGCCTAGTTTAGCTCCCAGTCCATCGAATTCATTCTTCCTCCAATCATGTTTGTCGATCCTGGTGTGGCAATCAGAACAAGGCCATTGTCATTTCACCGCACACAATAAAACTATAAAACGAGTATTGGATCATGTCAAGTCCTCATATCCTGCATGTTGCAGGAATGAATGGATGTAAGTGATTCGTTCAGTGTGAGGAATGAAAGTTTGAGGTTGCCATCCAGAAACACTCACAACGACACCTCTTGCGATAATGATTGATTGATTGATTGATTGAATCCATGGTTCGTCTTTTTAGGCGGCTTTTACAAGCGCATCACGGGATGTCTCGGCTCCCTCTCTCTACTCTTCCCCAACCGCCTCAAGGTTGTCGAGCACGAATTTGATGACAAACCTGCCTTTCGTCAATGGTTGGTCGATGATGGCTTTCGGAACAACTTTGGGACGGAAGCTGGCAAGAAGCACGTCAGCAGTCCCGTTGTTTGGTTCTCCAAGACCTCAAAAGATGGAGATCCGGATCCAGCAGATATTGAAAAGTACTTGGGTGGTCACGATGCTGCCATGGAGTGGGCTCGTGGGTTCATGACACCTTCTGACATTCAAAAGTCTCCCATTTTGATGCAAGACGATGGACATAAGGCCGATCACGGATACGATTACGATTTGGTAGTGATTGGAGGAGGATCTGGTGGTATGGCGGCGGCCAAGGAGGCTGCGGAGCTTGGAGCCAAGGTTGCCCTCTGTGATTTTGTCAAACCATCGCCCATGGGAACCAAATGGGGTTTGGGAGGAACCTGTGTCAATGTCGGTTGCATTCCCAAGAAATTGTATCACATTGGTGCTGGAGTAAAAGAGAGCATGGAAGCGGATGCTAGACACTTTGGTATCGCGGTCGGTGCTGATGTCAAGCCAGATGTCATGGACGAACTTCCTGGAGTCGAGACGGTGTCCCACTGGAAGACCGCTCGCATGAACATTCAGAATTACATTCGCAGTTTGAATTTCAAGTACCGCGTCCGTCTTCGTGAAAAATCGGTCCAATACTTGAACAAACTTGCCACTCTCAAGGATGCTCACACCATTGAAGTTGCCGACAAGAAGGGAAATAAGAGCGACATCACGACGTCGCGTGTCTTGGTGGCTGTTGGTGGTCGTCCTGCCCCCTTGGATTGTGAGGGCGGTGAACTTGCCATTTCCTCCGATGATGTTTTCTTTTTGGAAAATGGTCCTGGAAAGACCTTGTGCGTTGGCGCTTCTTACATTAGTTTGGAGTGCGCTGGATTCATTGCCGCCATGGGATTTGATACTACCGTTGCGGTCCGAAGTATCCTGCTGCGTGGGTTTGATCGCGAATGTGCCGACAAGATTGGGGAAAACATGATGAGCCATGGGGTCAAGTTCATTACCAAGGTGACTCCCACCAAGTTGGAAAAGGTGGAGAATGATCAAATCAAGGTTACCTTCTCGGATGGTTCCTCGGATACCTATGACACTGTCTTGGGTGCCATTGGACGTCATGCGGATACGGACAAGCTGGGATTGGAAAATGTTGGAGTCAAGACTAACCCAAAGAATAAGAAGATTTATACTAAATTTGAGCAAACGGAAACCCCCAACATTTACGCTGTCGGTGATGTCATGGAGGTGAGTCTAGAAGTCTGGCATGCACAGTTCTGTCGACACTTGTTCCGTTCTAACCTTACTCTTTTCTCTTTTTTTCATTTGTTTGCAGGGATGCCCCGAGTTGACACCAGTCGCCATTCAAGCTGGTGTTGCCCTTGCTCGTCGCTTGTTTGGAAATTCCCAAGAACCAATGGACTATGTGAACATTTGTACCACTGTATTTACACCATTGGAATACTCCTGCGTGGGATTATCGGAAGACGATGCCAACGAAAAGCTTGGTTTGGACAATGTTGAAGTCTATCACCGAGAATTCACTCCCTTGGAGTGGTCCATTTCGGAGAAGCGACAGCTTTACGGAAATGCCTTTACCAAGGTGGTGGTGGACAAGACGGAAAATGAAAAGGTCCTTGGTATTCACTACTTGGGACCCAATGCTGGTGAAGTTATGCAAGGATATGGAGTGGCCATGAAGAAGGGAGTGACCTTCAAGGAACTCACCGAAACGGTTGGTATTCACCCAACCAGTTCGGAAGAGATCGTCTCACTTTCCATCACCAAGAGCAGTGGCGAGGACGCCGCTGCTGGTGGATGCTGAGGCTAAGCCCTTCGAGGACCCTTTTGTTAGGGTCTTTGAAGGGCTGCGTTGGAGAGATCCAGCGTGACTTGAATAGAGCTCTTGACAATGTATTGTTTTCAACAAACGTCTTTTTAAGGCGTGAATGACGGCTCGAGACAAGGAGGAATGCAAGGTCCTCTTTGTATCAATGCCTGAGAAACTTTTTTTGAAAAACAATGCAGTATTCGTCAATGGTCTAAATTTACATGTGTACAGATGAATTTCATCTCATGGGAGCATTATATAATAACAAAAATAATGCACACTTTCATTCATCTAACGCTTATCTTCACTAGTCTCGTGCTACATGCTGGAAGGCTCTTAGCCATGGTTCGTCTGCTTCCTCTAGTGTCCCTCGCGCTTCCGCATCCATTTCGATCCACTGACAATGATTGGCGACGTACTTTTGGAATGCTGGAAACATGGGATTATGGTCTGCCCTCCATCATCATGAGGAAAGTTGCCGACAGGTAGAGGCGGTATGAAGAATACGGCGGTTTTCAAAAATGCCCAACATGAAACAGGAGCCAATTTGGCAACTACCGTGCGTTCCCGTTCGACGATGCCGTTACTGTAGCACGCCATCTTTTGCTTCGAGTATGTAAAGCTGTTTCAACGGCAATATGCAGCGGCGGATGAAAAAATGTCGAATTGCCGAGTAGTAGTGTACGGAATTCGGCGCAATAGTCACTGCACTACTTTTTTCCATTCTTCAACCGCAAATATCGAAATAGAGCGGCAACTTTCAACAGCGCCACATCATCGGTGACTGGAACCCACTTGTTGCCATCTTGCTTTAGAAAGAGGCCCCCATTGCCCCTAACGACATTGATGATTTCTTGAGCAACAGCCTTCTTTGCCCCTTTTTGCGCTCTTTCGTACTTCTTGTACCGATCTGCTACAAACTGTTGTAGCTTTTTGTTGCCACGGTGGATCTGAAATGGGGTGCCCTTGCCCAACAAAACATCCTCGCAAAATGGAACACCAATCATGTTAGGAGTTGGATATCTCAAGCGCTCCTGCCGCCGTTGTTGTTCTAGTCTTTTATGATCTTTGATACGGTCAGTGATCTCGCCTTTATTGTTCACAGGTATACAAGATGGGTCGATTCCATATCCGCGTAGTTCTTCTAAGCATTCGAGGATCGTATCTATGAAAAAAGGCCAAGTGAGCCAGGATTCGAATCAAGTCGGTCTCTACTAGGCTCGTACAGATAGGGAACCCAATCACGTACCACAACAATGCACCCGACATCTAACTTGGCTCTGCTTGTCGAGTGCAGTCTTAACCATCGCATAGTGAGATTCCCATGCTCCCTTAGTGCAGCATAGATGGATAGCCGAGTGCCACAAGGGAATTGCTTGATTTTGCTTTGGCAACTTCCAGACAAGATCAAGATTATCGGCACTCGTGCCCTTGACTTCATTTCCAAACTGGATACTTACATTTACAAGCCCACGTCGTTGTATCTCTATTTCACGGCATACTGCCATTGTGATATAAAAGGATTTCCGAAGCTACAATTGGTTGAATTGAGACAAAGTACCGTAGCATATCGATGAAGCTAGATTTCTAGACTTCTGAACTTACACATGAGTCGGTCCTGTACGTTTTATTCACCATAACAATCATATTCATGCGTCTTCCAGCCTTATCATGCGCGTTCAAGAATCTTCCATTTGAAAGATGGAGAATTTCCATTTCATCCGCATCCAAATCATCTTGAGTAATGTCTCTTACAAGCTTATCCTGACCAAACAAGTCCAATTTCATTTGAAAATGACGGACAAATCGAAGCGCTGCTTTTTTACAATCAAACTTCTCGCATCGAAGAAACGCAAGTCGAAAGTCTCTATCCTGTGTATATGTTGGATTCAGTTGTTCAGCAATGCTGTACGCTTTCTTGTCAGGTAGGATATCGATCTCGCCTTGTAGTCCCCATAAACTATTGTGAATTAGTTCTGGAGTTTCCTTTACAAAGTCGTCTGGTATCGCATGGACGTCATTGTATGCCTTTTCTCGATCAGCGACTGATAGCTTTGCCATTTGAGACGCAATCAAGGAGGCGGCACTTTCGGGATCAGAGGCATTTTGTGGAACTGGTACTGAAAATATTTCTGCACTCTTGCTCTCATCCTCATCTGGCTTAATGTTGGTGTCAGAAACATCCTCGTCAGTCAGAAAGTAATCATCCCAAAGAAATGTATCCCACAGAGAGTCATCCAACATTTTTCTGCAAAGTGGTTTCTCATGGGGCGCATCTTTTTGCTTAGTTCAGTACTTTGTTGGTGTGCACGTGAAAACTGATATATGGCTGGATTGGTGTTCGGGTGTCAGAAATTATGCTATTTATTTAGTTATCATTTTCATGTCGCTCAGCCGGAAGACGATGCCAACGAAAAGCTTAGTTCGCGGATATATGCGAGGAGTAGTAATAAAAAACAATCAACATGTTGAAGTCGCTCTGTCACCAAGAATTCACTCCACTGGAGTATGGTCCATCTCGGAGAAGCAATAGCTTTACTGAAATGCCTCTACCAAGGCGGTGGTTGACAAGACTGAAAATGAAAAGGTCCTTGGTGTTCACTACATACTTGGGACCCAAGTGATACAAGGATATGGAGTGGCCATAAAGAATGGGGTGACCTTTTTCAAAAGGAACTTACCGAAACGGTTGGTATTCACCACACCAATGAATCCTAAAACTCCAATAGAACACATTGCATAAACCATACTAAGTAACCAAAGATAGGCTTCCGTGAAGCGCTAAGAAGAGATTGTCTCACTTCCTGTCCTCAAGAGCAGTGGCGAGGACGCCGCTGCTGGTGGATGCTGAGTCTAAGCCCTTCGAGTACCCTTTTGCTAGGATCTTTGATGGGAGCATTATATGAGAAAAATAATGCACACTTTCAGTCAGGACTAACTGTCGTACAGATACAGTTTAGATGCAGCCAGCCAACAATGGGGATATTTTGGCACGGTGGTTATTTGTGGTTAGGGCATCTGAACTATGTCTGTACACCAGTCAGTCCTGATTCTTTCATTCATCTGTCTCTTGTCTTCACTAGTCCCGTGGTAATTGCTGGAAGGCTTTTAGCCATCGCTCGTCTGCTTCCTTGAGTGCTCCTCGTGCTCCAGCATCCATTTCGATCCACTGACAATGATGGGCGACGTACTTTTGGAATGGTGAAAACATGGGATTGTCGTCTTTCAGCTGAATCAGCTTGGAGGTTGGCAACTCCATTGGCGTATGAGTATTGATATTTGGATCCACATTGTCTTCTTCGTCCTTACTTTTTCGCTGAAAGCAAGTTGACACATACCATCTCTTCGACAGTTCTTCGATGCGTTCGTCAACCAGTCGCCAGCCTGACTTTTGCAAATGATCGTAAAGCAGAATCAGGTGACTTGGCCGAGAATTCGTGGGTTGGAGCAACAATTGCTGACATTGTATTCGATCCAGGTGGGTGATATCGGCAGTATCACTTGGCATCGACAAGATCTTAATCATCGTGTTGACCCCCATACCAGCAATACACACTGTGTCAGCTTCACCTGGATCTATGTTGTCAAGCCCATCACTCACTCGAAAAGTGATTGGTATTCTTGTCTCTTCTCCTTCAGTGCCATCACCATTGCTGTCGTCATCAAGCTGTTGCTCATAAATTTCTTGGGCTGTCTCCAGCAACGAAAGTGCCCCGTTGTATAGTGCCTGTTCTGAAACATCGACTCCCAATACTCTGTCATATCTTCCTGAAAGTGCAAAGCTCATTGCCAGCAAGCCATGGTCAGTGCCAACGTCGGCAATGGACCTAGCCGTACTCGCCCTCGTTCCTTCACTGTCTCTGTCAGTATTGGTGTGATCAGCAGCCAATTCCACCAAATGGCCCAGCGTTGGAGCATGATGATCACACCTCATGACTCATCAGTCACGAGTTGAAATCATGACTGCAATGGATACGACCGCTGATTCATCAGGTGGAATGGAGAATGTAATATACTGGATTAACGAGGAATATACGACAGTATATTCCCAAGTACAAATGTACGAATGGAAAGTCTAAGAAATAGTAGTAAGCTCGGAAGACGAGAAGATCTGCAGTACATGCAATTCTCATTGTCTTCCGAAAATTAATAAAGACGAAAGTAATTTATAGCACACCTACGGTGCTTGATCTTATCTGTTCTTAGACTAGACAGGGTAGTCACTTGACTGGTGCTACCGATCGGCATCCAAGGCGTTGTTCCAACATTTTCGGAAGACAAAAATGCCATCTGAGAGCGATGGCAGAAATGCGTCGCCCCCCGACTTCACCACCAGCAACTCACCTCAAGGTGGTAATAATGGAGGTGGAAGTGAACGACGTAGAAGACAGAGGGGGAAGAGAAACAATCGGTCGCAAAGCACCAAGTCCGAGCCACCTCCCAATGCAGCATTGAAATCCCACTACTTTGATTTCCAGGGCCAAGACTGGCAGCAGCCCCCGTTCCTAGACGTTGTGAAGGCTGTGACAGAGTACTTTGCCGGGGAAAGATCAAGCGCAACTGAATATGTGATCGTGGGCCTGACAGGAGAATTCGCACTCCCATCCATCACGGAACCTGCGGACCCAAGCGACCCAGACAACAGGGTCCTCTTCGCCAAATGGGAAGGGGAATACAAGGACTTCAAAAGGAAGCAAAAGGATAGAGAGGCCAACGAAGGAGCCTTCTTCGGTTTATTGATGCGTCAATGCACTGAACAGTTTCAAAACGCCGCCCAAGAGCACCATGAATGGAATAAGGTTCAATCCAACATGGACACCATGGGGTTGCTTCGAATCTTCCAACATCTCACAGCCACAGGAGGAGCCACCAACGTCGATCCGGCTATGTCGAAGTACCAGGCCCAGCAGAGATTTTACAGTTGTATCCAGGGCAGCAAGATGACGAACGCCGAGTACTATTCGCGCTTCATGCATCATGTGAACGTGGTCAAGTACTGCAAGGGAGCACTGGGAGCATCGATTGCCGCATTGGAGGACGCATGCAGAGAAGCAAAAGTCAACAGCACCCTTGATGAAATGAAGAAACTCGAAGCAAAGGTGATGGAGCGAGAAATGGCAATGGCATTTCTCATGGGCGCTGACAAGAAGCGATATGGCAACTTGATCGCGCAAGCTACCAACGCTCGATTGTTGCATAACGGAGCCTCAACTTTCCCAACGACCATGGCAGGAGCTTTGGAGCTGTTGAACAATGGGCAACAGCTTCAAATCACGCAGAGTGTTGTCCGAACCTCCGATGTGGGAGGTGGAGCATCTTTTTTCACTGAGGGCCAGCCATCCGATCAGAACGGAGCCGGCAGGCGCGAAAATCCACGTAGAAACGGTACTGGAGGTCGTGGAAATGGAGGACGTGGCGGTCGCGGCGGTCGCGGACGATTTGAGCGAAACCAACCTGAAGATCATCAAGACGACCAAGCCCACATCAACAACAACGACGCAGATACTGATAACAATAACACTGGTTCTGGAGAGTATTTGAATCCTTTAGATAATATAGCCGATCCGAGCAACGATGCGGAGGCTCTCATCGCGAGCGACGCGATAGATGAAGATGTGACAGCTACGGAGCTGCTCTTCCTTCAATCAGACAACATGCACGCACAGCTCATCCTCAAGAGGCACCCAACATCAGGACTTCCGGTCACCTGGTTGATCCTTGACACCGGATCCACGGCAAACATCTTCTGCAATGGATCGCTACTACGCAAAATCCACAAGGTCAAGAAAGGATTAAGGGTGCGCTGCAATGCAGGAGTCGTTGAATTGAACATGAAAGGGTTTTTTGGAGATTATCCGGAGGCGGTGTGGTTCAACCCAAAAGGAATAGCCAACATTTTTTCCTTCCACAACATGAACAAACACTGCAACATCACATACGACAATGCCGCAACCGACCGATTCATTGTTGATTTCAAAAACGAAAAAATAGAGTTTCTCCCCACTGACAAGGGGTTATACCACATGGATCTGAAGGACCAACTGAACTCGGCTTGGAATTTCTTCGAGACTGTGAAAGGGCAAAAGGCCAAGCACACCAAGGCATCAGTGATCCGTGCAGCCAAGGCTCGCCACATTCAAAATATTATTGGACGACCTGGAGACCGAAGATTCACGGACATTGTAAACAACAATCTACTGCGCGATTGCCCAGTCACGTCCGAAGATATCAAAACGGCCACCAACATATATGGCCCCAACTTGGGATCGCTTAAAGGTAAAACGACATCCACTACGGACGGTCATGTACGCACAGAGATTGGCGCTATTCCACCACACATCAAGGAGCACTATTCGGATATCACGTTGGCAATTGACATATTGTTTGTCAACAAAATGCCTTTTTTGGTGACCATCTCCCGCCACATCAAATTCGGGACAGTCGAGCGCCTTCACAACAGGCAAATTCCCACCATCAAAAGAGCTCTACAAAAGGTCATTGCGCTCTATTCGCGACGCAACTTCAAGGTCATTTCCATTCTGGGCGATCCCGAATTTGAACCCCTCGAGCAAGAATTCCCCAATATTCAAGTGGACTGCTGTGGCGCTGATGAACATGAACCTACCATTGAACGGTTCATTCGCACCATAAAGGACAGGGTCCGCAGCAACTACAACATGCTCCCCTTCCGCCGCATTCCCAAACTGATCCTTGAATATTTGATCCGCAATGCAGTCTTCTGGCTCAATGCCTTCCCAGCTCTAGATGGAGTATCCAACAATCTGTCACCTCGATACATCGTCACCGGTCGCCAGGTCACCATGAAACATCATGTCCGAACCGAATTTGGGGCGTATGTCCAAACACATGAGGAGCACTCCAATGACATGCGCTCCCGCACCTTGGGAGCTATCTGTCTTGGACCAACCGGCGCTGCTCAAGGCTCCCACTATTTCATGAGTGTTGCTACTGGCAAGCGAATCTCCAGACAACACTGGACCACTCTCCCAATGCCAACTGAAGTGATTGATGAAGTCAGCCAGAAAGGGCAACAACAAGGCATGCCTTTGACACTCACATTCGCAGACAGACATGGAAGAGAACTGATAGACGATGATGATGACATCGATGACGACCATGACTCTACCTACAGTTACTCAAGCGCCTCTGACAGTGAAGACGACCTCAGCTACGACAACGACAGCCACAGCGATTCTGACGTTTCCGACGACTCCGATCCGGGCTCTGACGCTGATTATGATGACGATAGTGATGATGATGATGAAACTACTGGTAATGATGATGCAGATGAAGCTCCACCAACCGGCCAACCACCAGCTACTGCTGGATTGCCCGCAGGAGTGATCCAACCACCACATCAGATGGCAGTGGAGCCACAACAGCATCAACTCCAGCAACATCAGCCACAATTCCCAGATGAAAACGCCGGAAACACAGGAGTGGGCGGCGCAAACAACAACAACACCGGAAACACAGGAGTGGGCGGTGCAAACACAGGAGTGGATGCCGGAAACACAGGAGTGGGCGGCGAAAACGCAGGAGTGGAATCAGAAGATGAAGAGGATGAGGAAGCACGGGCGCAAGCAGCCGCCGATGCGGACCTGAACGATCGAATCGACGCATTGGCAGAGGAAGTGCAACGCGACATACAGCAGAGAGAGCAACTTCTCCCAAACAATCAACAACAGATCGAGGTCGAAATGGATGCTGCATACGGCCCCAGAAATCACGGTAGAAACTTGCGCCCTAGGAAGAGGCCAACTACACATGGGGACCATCAAGTGATGATACACGTCCCACACCGAGACGAACCAGTCCCAGCATACCAAGAAATGATAGCACTCTTCAACCATGAGGTGTCATTCCTGACAGAGCAAATGTCAGCGAAGAAAGGACTAAAGGTATTCGGAGACAAGGGAGCAGAAGCGGTAGTGGCCGAGATGCACCAAATCCACTATAGGAACGTCCTGTCACCAAAATTCGCGCACGAACTCACCAAGCAACAGAGAAGGGATGCGCTGAGATATTTGATGTTCCTGAAGGAGAAGCGATGCGGGAAAATAAAAGCTAGAGGTTGCGCTGATGGAAGGAGCCAGCGACTGTACACGCCAAAGGAAGATGCTTCAGCCCCTACAGTGAGAACCGAATCATTCATCATCACATGCGCCATTGATGCCAAAGAAGGGCGAAAGGTGATGACAATTGACATTCCCGGAGCCTTTATGCAGGCAGACATCGACGACGTTGTCCATGTGAAGTTTGAAGGCGAGATAGCCAACCTGCTAACCAAGGTTGATCCGAGCTTGTATACAAAATACGTGGCGTATGAAGGAAAGAAGCCAGTGATCTACGCTCAGCTGAACAAGAACTTGTATGGGACCTTAAAAGGAGCCATTCAATGGTGGAAAAATCTTTCCGAGTTCCTCATTAATGAATTGGGATACGAAGCGAACCCATACGACAGCTGCGTGGTCAATAAGACAATCAACGGTAAACAGTGTACCATTATCTGGCATGTTGATGATTTGAAAATCTCACATGTCGAGCAAGAGGTACTTGATGATTTGGCCGACAAGCTAAGCGAACGGTATGGCAAGGAAGCGCCCCTCACTATCCAAAGAGGAGAAGTGCATGAATATCTTGGAGTTACAATTGATTTCAGCGAGAAAGGGAAGGTGAAGTTTTCGATGGACGACTATGTGGATCGTCTACTGGAAGAGGCACCAGAGGATATGAAGGGGGTAGCAACATCACCGGCCGCGAATCATTTATTCCAAGTCAAGGACAAGCCTACGTTGCTAGATGACAAGAAGGCTGAACTCTACCACCACCTTACCGCCAAGCTGCTGTATCTATGCAAGCGAGTACGAGGAGACATCATGACCGCAGTGGCTTTCCTCACGACTAGAGTTTCGAGACCTGATGAGGACGACTATGCCAAGCTCGCGAGATGTATCAAGTACCTGAGAGCGACCAAATATATGCCTCTTACCATTGAATTGGGAGACGAATTCATCATGCAATGGTGGGTAGACGCGTCATTCGCAGTGCACAATGACATGAAGAGCCACACCGGAGCAGTTTTAACCATGGGCAAGGGAGCCATCATTGCCATCTCTACCAAGCAAAAGATCAACACGGACAGCTCTACAGTGGCCGAACTAGTCGGGGTACATGATGCACTACCTATGATCATGTGGTCCAGATATTTCATCGCATCTCAAGGCCATACGGTGGTGGACAACGTTATTCACCAAGATAATCAAAGCGCCATCTTGCTCGAGAAGAATGGAAGGAAGTCATGCGGCCGCAAGACAAGGGCATTGGACGTCAGGTATTTCTCTATTACCGACAAGGTTGCCCAGAAGCTCATGACAATCAAACATTGCCCCACTGCAGAGATGTTGGGAGACTTTTTGACGAAACCTCTACAGGGAGCACTGTTCCGAAAGTTCAGAGATCTAATCATGAATTACTCAGGCCAATCCAACTGATGACTCGGGCCGCAGGAGTGCGTTGGAGCATGATGATCACACCTCATGACTCATCAGTCACGAGTTGAAATCATGACTGCAATGGATACGACCGCTGATTCATCAGGTGGAATGGAGAATGTAATATACTGGATTAACGAGGAATATACGACAGTATATTCCCAAGTACAAATGTACGAATGGAAAGTCTAAGAAATAGTAGTAAGCTCGGAAGACGAGAAGATCTGCAGTACATGCAATTCTCATTGTCTTCCGAAAATTAATAAAGACGAAAGTAATTTATAGCACACCTACGGTGCTTGATCTTATCTGTTCTTAGACTAGACAGGGTAGTCACTTGACTGGTGCTACCGATCGGCATCCAAGGCGTTGTTCCAACACCCAGTCGTTGCCAACTCTTCTTGTTTCTGCCCAAAAAGGAGAATGCCTCATAGGCACGCATTCGTTGTTGATCTTGTTCCGTGAAATCATCATCTTGGTCGGCCGGCGAGACCGTTTTGGAAAATCTTCTGAAGCTGTAGCTTCGCGGTTGAATACTGTTGTAGATATAGTCGTCGCATTGTCTTCCTTGTCTATAACCTATGAGTTGCTGTGAAAAAAAATATGATGGAGGGACTTTTCGCCGCAGTTGTGACAAGGATGTCGACGTGCATCGAAACGCCTTAGCTGGAATAAAGCAATTATTTTGCTGCAGTAATAGAAGTGCCGGAAACAATTGGGTACGCATGGTGGTAACTGCAACGGTTCCTACATTGATTAAGCGCTGTTGATATAACTTGACGATTCGTTGGAATGAACCCGATGGATAATTGAGTCTAATACAGTACCGTCTGACGGGTACAGTCATCTTGATATAATAATATACTAGTATCGAGTCAAAGCGTTTGTGCCGGAATCCAAATACATGAATACCGGTATATATTTTATATATATTGTGCATCCCAAACATTTTTGGAACCACTGGCCAGATACAGTATGCCCGGTCGGTGCTGTTTGTTTCTGGTGGTATTTCTTTCTTCCGGAGAGATCCTTCGTCACTTTCTGATCGAGAAAGTAGTGCATTAGCGTTTCACCATGTCTATATATTTTTTAATAAAATAAATAATACCTATCGTACTTTAAGACCATTTCACTGGATTATTTCCGTTTTCGACCCCCCATCACGCGCTCACTTGTTCCGCTTTACCATCAGCTATCCTTCATGATCTGCCCAAAAATAAAAAAAACGAGCATTGTCACAAGATGTCTTCACCACCGCTTCAAGAATACTTCACAAAACTGCTCAAGGAACAAAATGTTACCATGTCATCATGGGAAGTTCGAATTGTGAACGACAATGCACGACTATCCAAGGCAAGCCATGCAAGATTCAGCCAAACGCAGCCAGGTCTATCCATGATGAGCAAGAATTGCAAGCCCTGTCGGTGGTCGCCAAGCCCTACAATCACAGTTCACAGGGTATTGGACGGCCACGGCAAGAATTCAACAAATCCAAGCATGGCCACCACTGCTGTCGTTGGTGACATGATCAATAGACAGAGGACGAGGAGACACCTTCTCATAAGCAACAACAGATGGAGTGCTTCAAATGTTGCAACGAGTAATCCAAGATTTAATGGAGAAAACCACATACTTTCAAGATCCGTGTCCGCATCTCTCGTGGTCCCCAACCAAGACTGACCTGTCAAAGAAGACCTGCTGTCGCTTCGAAGATGCACTTCTCTCGATACCCCAATGATGCTGCCCACTCGAAACAACACCTTCTCCCCGAGATCCAAAAGCTATTCGTTACTTGACAAGGTCAGCAGCATGGGGTCTATTGATAGTTGTTGTGTAAACGATCGATTTGAATAGATGACCGGTTTTGGATTGAAATTGCCTTGGCAATGAATGGGTTAGTCCAGTAGACAACAAAAGAGTCCAAGCATACAGGTGTACAATTATGTAGCTAGTGAAATACAAAAGTTTTAAACATGAAATCGTGTGGTTGTCGTTTCTATTTCGTCCGAGTATCTGCAGCCGTAGATTTTCCAAGAGAATCCAAGGCCCCCCGATCCAAAGAAACACAAATTCTCCGAGGGGATGGACGCCGGCTAGAATGAATTGTTCAATGTGACGTTGGGGTACAGGTAGCCACCCTCAGCGTAATAGCACCTGGACAAACAAATATACAGTTGCATGTGATCGCATAGCATATACCTTGACCTCCTCCTCTCTCGTCAACTCTGGTCGTGTTGATCTTTCCTTAGAAAAATTCGTCTTTATCCATTCGAGGACGCACTTTATCCCATTCCGCTTCGGTCATGGGGCCAGGTTTTCTAGGTGGCGTTCGGTTGGCCTTGCTTTTGGTAGCATGCTCCATTTGTTTCAACATTGACCCCGTCCGACGAGTGTACATGGCGAACCCTGCTGATGTGAGTACCATGCCTCCAATGATGACCTTGACCATGGTCTCATTATGAAAGCTGGGCTGGGGTGACTTCGAAGATTCATGCGATGGCGATGGTGCTGACATGTTGTTCGTGGTTGATTTCACAATTGCAGGTGAAGCGATCGTATCGTGAGGGTGTTCAGTGTTCGTCTGGTTCGTGTTCTATGTTTCAACTTTCAACCGTTCCTTGCTTGTACCTGTCCCTTTCTTCTTTGCTCTTTCTTTCTCAAAGAAGAGAAATGGTGATTGATTGACTGATTCAGAATGAAAGTTATGAGAAGAAAAGAGTGAAAGGCAAAAAGGCAAACACTCTTCTCAAACTTGCTTTGACATGATCAACGCAGTTCTCATAAAATCTGTCGAAGAATGCCGCTCGTCCTTCGCTCGTGGACATCCAAAGGGGATCTCCCATATATTTAGGGGTGGAAGAGTGACAGACGCCCCTTCACAGTCCAACCAAAATCTTGGTGCAATAATGAACATCCACATCAAAACGCACAACGCATCTTACTGTAGGTCCCAACGGCAAAGCAAAAAGTATTTGGTGTTACTGTATTTGCTGCAAAACCCATCTCGAAGTTTTTCACCTTCAACTTTTAGAAAGAGACAAGAATAAACATGTCCTCACTCCGCAATGCCGTCAAGCGGATTGCCCACAAGGAGCGATCCCAGCCCCAGAAACGACAACACTTGGGAATTCTGCAAAAGAAGAAGGACTACAAAAAACGAGCCGATGATTACCACCGCAAGCAAGATCGAATCAAGACCATGCGCACAAAGGCTGCCATGAGAAATCCGGATGAATTTTACTTTGGCATGCAAAATTCGCAAGTGAAGGATGGCCATCACAAATCCACCACGGATTATCGAGATGTGCCACCGGAAATGGTCAAATTGATGAAGGATCAAGATTTGAGCTATTTTCGTATGCAAAAGCAAAAGGATGCGAAAAAGGCGGAACGATTACAAGCTTCTTTGCACTTATTGAGTAATGACGTGGACGATGAAGATTTGGAGGGGATTAGTAGAGCAAGTCAAAAACATACTGTCTTTGTGGAGGATCAAAAAGAAGCCGATCATTTTGATGTGGCCAAGCACTTTGATACGATTCCCGAATTGGCAGGTCGTAAATTTAATCGATTGCGCAAAGAGGATATCAAGAAGGCAGCCAAGGAAAGTACCACAGGACACGACGAGAAGGGCCGAGAAACGAAACTAACTCGCAAACAGATTGAAAAACAAGAAAAAGCGGCTCGCAAGATTGCCAAGAAACTCGCCAAAGCCAGAGCCGCAGCCTATGGAGAAATGGAAGCAAGAACAAAGCGTGCGGAAGCCTTGCAGAATGCGGAAGACCGTATCACATTGGAAAAAAATCTACAGGGCAAGGGACGGAAACGAAAAGTGCGGGAGGCAGAAGATGGAAAACCAGCACAATACAAGTGGAGAAGAAGGCGCTTGGGATGAGCCCGCTATACTTTGATGATATAGAAACATGTTTTCATCGAAACAATATTACTATTGCTATCATATCATGTTACAACATTGGTAAATCCGTGGGTAGAACTGCCGTAGGGACCAATATAATGTATTGAATTTTCAGAAACTTCTGTAATCCGAAGTAAAGTAAAACAGTGTTTCGTGTCTTTATCTTTTGTATTCTACAAAACTACCGTATGGGCATATCTTTTCTATGGATCTCCAGAGATGGAAAACCAAAAGTCCCGACTGGTGGTTTTGGCACCCAGAGGAGGAATGGCCATGTGGATCCACAATTCGGCAATAGCTTCAAGGTTGCGGGCATATCGAATGGGGCCTATGTAAAAAGGCTTGAATCCAACGCCCTTGATGATTTCGGCCACAATCTTTTGTGCCTCTTCATCAGCGTCCCCGGCAAACATCATGTCCTTGCCAAGCGCTGCCTCCATATGTTCGACGCCAACAGTATTGAATGCCTTGTAAACCTTGGCGGCAGGGAGAGCCTTGGCCAACACTTCGCCGCCAGAAGTGGTCTTGCCCCATCGGACATTCAGTCCCTCGGGAAATGAGTCGAGAGGATTGGTGGCGTCGATTATGATCTTGCCACTCATATCGCCCAGTGACTTTGCGAATTCTTGGATTTTCTCGTCTTCCGCCATGCTTGGAGTTGCCAGAATAACTACGCCAGAGCTCTTCAAAGCGTCAGCAGAGGCTTCAACCGTAAGTTCGTCCATCTTGGCTTCAGCAAGCTTGGCCTTGGTCTTGACGGGGTCACGTGCGGCAATAACAACATCCTTATTGCTGTCCGAGAGAGCCTTGGCCAGTGTCGTTCCGACGCTTCCTCCTCCCAAAACGGCAATCTTGGTCATGATGCAGTAGTTGTTATTGCTGTCTTGCTCGTTTGCTTGTAAGGAAAGTGTGGTAAATATGGGAAGCAGTATCGCTTTCACCAATTGCATGATTTATGATACGTAACTGCATTTAATGCCGATAGTCTGATGTGGATCTTATTTCGATTTGCGCAAAAATAAGTCGAACTTCACGGATGTTCTCTAGGATCTGTAAAAGGTTATTGATCGCGCTGCGGGGTGGAGCAAAAATTGATCAGTCTCTCTATTGTTGGACACTTGACACTTTCAAATATATGATCCTTCGTTTTGCAATGAGGGATAATTGGACACTGTGCTTTGACCGCATGTACCGGTAAAGTCTTCGCCTCTTACATAGACCTTACACAGAGTACATGTCATTGCTCAATCACAACAGTAGGAACGAGACGGTGCAGTTCACATGAAAAATAAATCACTATCTTATATTCTTGCTCTTGACCAATCAACCAATACCAATACTGGTAGGTAAATACTAAGGACTAGGAGCGGGGACAGGCGTAACAGGAGGGTCCGTAGGAGCAGGGGCAGGTGTAACAGGAGGGTCCGTAGGGGCAGGGGCAGGTGTAACAGGAGGGTCCGTCGGAGCAGGGGCAGGTGTAACAGGAGGGTCCGTAGGGGCAGGGGCAGGTGTAACAGGAGGTTCCGTAGGCGCAGGGGCAGGTGTAACAGGAGGGTCCGTAGGCGCAGGGGCAGGTGTAACAGGAGGGTCCGTAGGCGCAGGGGGAGGTGTAACAGGAGGGTCTGTAGGGGCAGGGGGAGGTGTAACAGGAGGAGGGGTAACGGGAGCATCACTTGGTGATAAGGTTGGTCCATCTGTGGGGTTCGAGGTTGGCACCGGAGTTGGCTGAGATGTAGGCACGTCAGTTGGAACTGGGGTTGGCTGAGATGTAGGCACGTCAGTTGGAACTGGGGTTGGCTGAGATGTAGGCACGTCAGTTGGAACTTCAGTTGGTATATCTGTTGGCGACACCGTCGGTATTTCTGTGGGGGGTACAGATGGTGCATCTGTTGGTTCCGATGTTGGTACATCTGTAGGCGACACTGTTGGGGACACGGTTGGTACATCGGTTGGTTCGTCCGTTGGCGACACGGTTGGTGACTCGGAGGGCACAAAGGAAGGACGCAAGGATGGGGACACAGATGGCACAGCCGATGGCCGGGATGACGGTGGTGGAGTTGGACCCACCACGGGAGCAAAGGTTGGATCCACAGATGGTTCCAAAGTAGGGCTCAATGTGGTAGGACCTGGTGTCGGAGGACCTGTCGGGGTGAGCGTCAAAGGGTTGGTTGGACCCTGCGACGGAGCCAGCGAAGGAATCATACTGGGCAGCATAGAAGGAGATTCACTTGGAACAATGGATGGCACCATACTGGGAGCTTCCGTGATGGTTCCCGAATCAATTGTGACCAGAATGAGTTGCACGTACTCGTCTCCCAACTCCAACTTTTGCACCAAATCTTGGTCGTATCCAAAGACGATATTGATCAATTCCATGAGGGTCAAAATACGTTCGGGTCCTTCCAAAGTGAGATCAATAGTGACCAACACATGGGTACAAGGGGTCGCTTCCGACCGAACACAACCTCCTTCTCTTGTTTGTACATCGACAATTGCATTGGTAATGATATAGTTTGTTTCTGGACTCAATTGCAATTTACGGTTGGCCGCAATGGCGTCGGGACAACCCATGACTTCTGGCATGAGCAGTGCCTGCATCTTTTCCTTGAGTTCTTGAGCTGTTGCGGCTTCATCCTGTTCTACGGACATGACAACATCCATGGGCATTAAGAAGTTACGAAGCAAATTCCCTTCGTCCAAGGGTGTTTCGCCTCGGGAGACTGCCGCACAATCTTCTTCCGAGGGTGGATCGTACCGAATGACAAACTCCGAAGGACTGCTGGAAGGCAAGTCGGTAGGAGCGCTGCTGGGCATGGTCGAGGGAAAGGTGGTATTGGTCGCATTGACGACACCGTCATTAGAGGTTGCTGCATTTTTGTCAGAACCTCCTTGGAGAGCAAAGTAAATCACCACACCGCCGATGGCCAACAAGAGTAGCAGAACCAAAATGCAAATTTGCATACGACTGCCAGCGCAACGGCCAGGCCTCTCGTCGTTCTTCCTTTTCTTGGATTGTTTTTCCTCTGGCCCAGTATCAACAAACTCGGGAACGGCCTGTTCATCGGGATTGCTGTTTCTCATGGAACGACTGCTACGACGAGACCGTTCCATCTTTTCCGATCGACGAGAGCTTGCCAACAGATCGTCATTCTTATTCTTACGATTATTGCGGGCCAGGTTCATCAAATCGTCTGGATCCTCGCCCCCGGCACGACTGAGAGATTCTGGATCCAGCACCTCGAGCGGCAAGGGCGGCAAGACGGAGGATTGAGCCGAAGGAGATCGGCTGTGCCTCGAGTGGGCAGATCGTTTCGGAGATCCTTCGTGAGCGTTGGGAGTCTTGGGCGAATGATGGTGCTTGACTTTTTTCTTCGGCTCGGTGGATGGAGAAATAAAGGCATCCATTAGGTCTGTTCCAACATCGGCCTGGATGACCTTTCGGCTGGAGCCGTGGGGAGACTTGGAGAGTCTGCGAGAGGACTTGCCGGGGGAGGATTCTCCTAGGTGTCGTCCCGAAGCAGAACGTCCAGATGAGTCAATCCGACGATGGGAGGACTGTTTTGGAGACGATCCTGCTTCGAGAAGGTTTCGTCTGGAAGATCGTTGGGATCCTTCCTGCTTGGGAGAATCAGTGTCATCACGTCCCAATCTTCTAGAGGAACGTTGAGAGGATTCTCTTTCTCGGTTGGATGCGTGCGGAGAAGATGATTTCTTCCTGGGAGACTTTCCATTCGAAGGAGAATCTTCGCGTCTGCGGCTTCTATGAGATCGACTGGATTCCTTTCCTCTTTTGGAACTCTTGGGAGAATGATTCTTGGACTTGTCTCGGGTAGACGACCGTTCTCCCCTCTTGGATCGAGAAGGAGAGTGATCCGGACTTCTAGTGTTTCCGTTACCGGTAGTTCCTAATTCTTGGACGAAGTCCGAGTTTGCTAGAAGAGCATCATCTTCTTTCCTTCCACCACTACTACTCTTGTGCGGTTTGTGGCTTCTCTTTTTGGAATCACGACGATGATGACGGCGGTGGCGGCGACTGCTAGACTTCTTATCATCACCACCTTCGTCTTCGTCCTCATTGGAATCTTCTTTTGCGGCTTCTGACAAATCCACGACGGGAATGCCTACATCTTCATCTTGTGGTTGGGGAGCCATGTTGGTTGTTTGTCTTGGTATTGTACTCGAATATTGATTGAATATAATGATAGAGTGCAATGCAATGCAATGCAATGTACAACACTGTAGGAACAAGTGAAGATTGTCTGACGAAGAGAGATTCTCTTGGGTCAAAAATCGCTATCGATACAACGAAAGCGACTGCGATTTTTTCCCAAGACCGATGAAGCTCCTTGGAACCTCCATTTGGCTCCATTTGGCTCACCTCGAGGTTTCAAGTTCGCCGTGCTGTTAATTACCAAAACGAATTCGAACTGAAGTTAAATAAATTTCATTAAGCTCATTCACGCTGTGACACCAAATTGTCTTGAACGGAACACCAGCGGATCCGAAACCGCCGGGCCGCCATGCCGGCTTTTGAATTACTGTACACTGCTGTAGTCACTAAATTTGGGCTACTCAAGTACCGCGTAAAATTTGGATCCGCTCATCGACTCACTCGACTTGATGGACAGCATCATCACCACAGTAGAGCATCTACTGTAGTTTAGTTTGAGAAGGAAAAAAAGAGGCGACATGTTGAAAGATCCACGATCATTCAACAGTATCATGAAGAAGAGTGATCAGATGACTAGCAATGAGGTCTCTTCAGCATGATTGCCTTCTTCTTCTTCTT